CTAAACCTATGTAAAATGTTCCGGAGAATCGATTGGCGTCAAAAAAACTACAAAATTCCTAATAGTTTTGAAGTTATGGTCGGATTTATATTATCCATACTTTTGATTTTATCACAAATTTTCTCGATAACTATTTATCGTAGAATACTGATTTCTTTTTATATGATAGAAAATTAAATTTGCTTTCCAACGGTACCAAACATAAGAGGTTATTACCAATAAGTCCGGAGTTATTGGCAATAGACCGCTCCGGGTGCCAAAATTTCGACGAAAATCAAAAAAATTTTTAACCTTAAAATTCATCCATATAACGTTTTTTACATTTATAGAGGTCTTAAACACTCGAAAAAATGCATAAAACGTTATTGGGTCAAGTTTAAAAAATTACGAATTTTTTGAGTTTTTCAAGGTGAGCGGTAGTAAAATCGTAAAAATAGTCAATTTACTAAAAATCGTAAAAACGGTTGAAATATGGTTTTCTAGACGTAAAATTACGCGCTGAACACGATGCAACTAGTTCAAATACTCTACGATGCATAGTTTTTGAGATATTGAGTAATAAAGTCAAAAATAAGGGTAGAAATATCCGATTTTAACAAAAAAAACAAAAATTTTTAATTCTAATGATAAACTAGTACTATATGTAGAATTAACCGGAGAACACGCCTGTACAAACCCTGTTGACCTAAGACTCATAGTTTTTGAGATATGATTTTTTTTTTGAAAAAACTAAAAATGGCTCTGTACCCGGAACCATAACCCGGAGCGACTTCCGGTTTGCGCCAATAAATAGATAATTTCAAGCTACTTTTAATGGTTTTTAGTTCTTTGCTCTACATACATAGTTTCGTAGGAAAACGCGTTTAAAGTTTCACAATTTTTATGTAAAGTAAGATACCAGGAACATGGAAAAAATTCTATTTATAAACATTTCGAAATTATAAAAGTTTAATTTTTACACTCTGACTCTATTTCTGTTGGAAAAATAATTTTTCAAGTTTTTTTGCTACAGGGTGTTAAAAAAGGCAACAAGGAAGCTGTATCCTAAATTCTATCTCTGTTTAATGTTATTTGTGGCTTTTCTTGGCAAAATTTTGTAGCTTTACTTAATAATCATAAAAAAGCATATACAAGATCATCAGTATCATGAAATAGACAAAAAATTTCAAATGTCAAAAAATAAATATGAAATTTTTTTGACAGATACAATTTTTTAAACATTTTTTTCCATGTTTCTGGAATCTTATTTTATTTTAAATATTCTCTGGGGTGCGAATTCTGACACACCTGTATATTTTATTTAAATATTAAAATATTTGTGTTTCTGACAGAGTTGAAGCACTGCGTACGCATATTACCGAGCATATTACCAAAAATTTAAGATATTATTAGATATTTTATTTCGTACTATGAATTGAAAATTAATAATGGAATAAAAAAAGGTAAAAAAAAGTAATTTTTGATATTGTCATTAAGGTACCTCACCATTACGCACACGTGCGACACCCCTTGGGCCCGCGGGGCCAACTCCCGCCAGCCCGAGGGCCTCACCGAGTTCGGCAAGAGCGTCATCAAAGAGATGAACCGCTTGGGTATGATAATCGACCTCTCTCATACCTCCATCGGAACCGCCAAGGCGGCCATCAACGCCTCGCACGCCCCCGTCATCTTCTCCCATTCGAGCGCGTACTCCTTGTGCAACTCCTCGCGAAACGTGCCCGACGACGTCCTCAAGCTCGTCGCTCACAACGGCGGCATCGTCATGGTCAACTTCTACACGTACTTGGTCACTTGCAATGAGAACGCTTCGATCCACGATGTCATCAAACACATCAATCACATCCGAAGCGTGGCGGGCATCGATCACGTCGGCATCGGCGCCGGATACGACGGAATCAACATGACTCCGGCAGGACTCGAGGACGTATCGAGGTACCCTCATCTCCTGGCGGAACTTCTTGCTGATCCGGTTTGGACGGAGAGAGATATTTCCGCATTGGCGGGACTCAATTTTTTGCGAGTCTTTGAAAAGGTCGAGGAAATTAGGGATAAATGGAAGTTGGCGGAAATTTTACCTACGGAAGATACAGCGCCGTATTTTCAGTCGCAATGCACATCCATTTATTCCTGACCATTGCTGCCGTAAGAACTGATTTTTATACAGGTTGTCTCAGATAGACGTAGACAGAAATTTCAAAAAATTAATTTCATTTACTTATTTCTAACAAACAGGTGTGTTGAATACTTCATAAAAATTAGAACATCTTCAGGAAAAAATATTTCAAAGCCTCATACTTTGGCGAAAATGCACACAACCAAGTTTTTTAATAAAGAATAGTTGGAGACAAAATACTTTGGTCGTCAATGTCACTTGAGTGACATTAAATTGTAAAGTATGCTTTAGGACTGTTAACCTTATTTTTAGCTACTGTCAATCATAGTTGACAAGTTGTATGTACATAATTTAAGAAAATATAATAGCTATCATTAATTTGAAATTGTCATTCATTTTAACGTTAAAGCTTGAATTACATTAAAGCGTCAGAAAAGTGACGACCAAAGTATTTTGTCTCCAACTGTAATAGGAGTATAATAGTTTTTGTAACATTTTAAATTTTTTTACGGGTATTGTTTTTAATGAATGTACAGTTGCGGAATTAAAATTTCGGCCAGTATTTTTCTGTCACTTCAAAAAGTTCACTGTAAACTACCTTTTACTGTCATCATAACTGACATTTGACAATTAAACATTTCTGTCGGTGACGCTATTTTTGAAAGTAAATAGGTAAGTCAAAATGAGATAAACATGACAAGAGTAAAAAATGAGGTTATTAATGTGAAGGTTGTTTTAGAGTTTACATTATGAAAATGACAATACTGCCCGAAATTTTAATTCCGCAACTGTACAGAGTGTTTTGGCATATTTCATATTATCGGTGGTATTATAGTACATTAAGGGGTGTATTGATATTTCCTCCGAGGTTTGTATACTATTTTATTCGCAATCGCATTTATTACAAAATAAAATATCTGCTTTTCTGTCAAAGTTTCACTATTAAAAAAAAATATATATGAAATGATTTTAATTTTCTAATGAATGAATTATTTATAAAAACAATTTGTTATTTTTTTTAACCAGGTTATGTTTTTAAATAATTATGAAAGATGTTTTTTATTCTATAAGAGCACAAAAAAATGTTTCAGTTGCTTATATTTTTTTCCAAAATATTAATTAATGCTAACTGCATTTCATTTTATTTTCAAAATGAAAAAAATCTTTTAAAGTTGCAGTTGTATGTAAAATGCGTTTATAAATACGCCAAAATATACAGGATGCGCCAGAATACGCGCCCCAGAGAATAATGCCATGTGAGGTAAGATACCAGGAATATGGAAGAAATGTTAAAAAAATTCTATCCATGAAAGTTATAAGAGTTTACATTTTGCACTTTGACTCTATTTATTTCTGTTGGAAAAAATAATTTTCCAAGTTTTTTTGACTACAGTTTATTAGAAGAGGAAACAAGGTAGCTGTATCCCAAATTGAAATTCTGTTTAATGTTATTTGTGGCTTTTATTGGCAAAATTTTTGCACGTTTAGTAATTAATTACAAAAAAAACGTGTACAAGATTATCAGTATCATTAAATAGACATAAAAAATGTCAAATGTCAAAAAATAAATGTCAATTTTTTTTAACAGATAGAATTTTTTCCATGTTGCTGGTATCTTATCTTTGTTGAAGTTTTTCTCTGTGGCGCGAGTCCAGACACCCTGTATATTCCAAAATATATATTTAAATTAAAATTACCAAAAGCTATTATTATGGCATTCCCATATCATCATAAACTCTGTAATCTCTCCACCGTTTAAATCAATTAAAAATAATATACAAAATGAACAAATTCAAAAACTCAAAAATGATGTTTTCAACATTTTTTTTTGGTTTAAATTTTATTAGTCAATACAAGTATAGAATATAATTATTTTGAGCATTGTTTATTTTTTTATCAAGAGCCACGCAACCCTTGACACCAATACTGTATTGGCTCTTGATGATTTATGAAAGCTGTGTACATATTTGTAATTGCTTGAAAAAATTAAATAAAAGCAAAATAGTGCCCAAAAGGATGATCTTTCGCCAAATTAATGGATTATAAACTATGTTAAATTGAATTTTGATACACTCAGTAAACCTTGACATTATTTTCAAGCAATAGGTATTCAAAATTTCAACTAAAAGGGAAAAAATACCTTTAAATTTAAATTTCTGATCAGAAACTGACTGAAATAAAGACAGCAGTTATGAAATTTGTTATGGTCCATATTTTCTGTCTCTACATTTTTCAACCTTACTCAACCTAATTTTAGAGTCCGGGCTATTTTGATGGCAAATTGTTATGAAGACATGATATTTTGGATTATGGGGGTTGTATTTTTTAAAGTTTATATGGGAAATTATTTATCTCTATTCTGTTTGATGTATGAACAACGCATTTGCTAATATTGTGCTACTAATTTTTGTTTTTAATACCTACATGTTTTTGTTAAGTATCTTTACAAACATTTTTTATAAATATGCATTTTGTGAATGTTTTTTGTTTTGTCTTTCTGGGACAACCTCTATGAAGCAGTTGAGGTGGATGACTTTTTTACAAATAAATAAAATCTTTATGCGGGACATGGCTATCCACTTTAAACTTGTCATCGTGGATACCCTAATTCCGCGGTTATTTTATTAGAACTGTTATTTACCAAAGTCGATGCCGCGTATTTTAATATTAAGTACAATGCGTGACATAATTAATGACACATTTGCGGTTCGGGAAAGAGTCACTTGTAGACAATTCCCCTAGTTTGAAAAGAACTATAAATAGTTAATCAATATGGAAATGGATGCGGAACATGCTTGACAGACCGCGAGAATTCTGTTCAAGGCGATTTTAACACTGTGTCATTACCATTAATTGTCTCATGCATGTGCTGATTTTATCTATATTTTATAATTTATATTGTAAATCGCAACACTGCCATTAAATTATCAATGCATACGATTTTGTATTATAAAATTTACAATGTTTACAACATTTTTAAATATATTTTCAGTTGTTTTATAAACACGAAAAGTTTTGGCAGAACATGATAGTGAAATTTAATATTTACCTAATGACTATCGAGTACCTATCAAATAGATTGATAATAAATAATTGAATAAAAATAAATATTGTTAAAAGCACAAATCTTTAAAATAATATAGATAGATATTTATAGAGAATATGCATTGCATGGAGTAAAGAATAGTTATATACTTAGCCGATAAATCTAGAGTAAATTTCATTGTCTATTTTACTTAAATAATTATATGAACTGAAAGTTGACGCCTCATAGTGAAATTTAAAAAGGTGAAGAAATCGATAAATTTCGTTAGAGAATATTTGAAAGTTTCAATAATAAATCTATTGAGATAATATTCAAAATATGACTTGTTCACCTGATGTATTACTTTTGTTACAGTTGGCGTTGCAGATTTAGAACGATGTAATTTTGTTTTAAGGTATTTATAGTTAAAATATAACAAGTAGTACAATTTTATTTCTAGGTACTTAACAAATTTTATAGAACAGTAGAAGCATTTAAATGAAACGCCATTCCATAAAATAAAAATGTTATTATTTCCGTTACGAGTTTTATTAGTCATGTGATTACATCGACATTTATGTTAAAATCGACAGCACTTAAAAATTTGGGCCATCTAAGAAATTACGAGAACAAAGTATTTTATGTCCTGTGTTCTTCACTTATTTTAGGAATATTTCCATTTTTTAACGCTCGTGTCGCTTCTTGATTACAAAGAATAAGTGTTCTTTTATTTTACGAAAAAATATAAATTTTGTGTGTTTTACTTTCGATATTTGCATTTTTATGTTGTAAGAGTTTTCAGACCCAGCAGGCCTTTATTTTTTATTCGCTTTGTGGTAAATACAAACATAACTTTCACGGCATCATAACGTTTTGGGTTTCGCCAGTTTTATATGTCTACAAAATTGGTAACGAATGTTTACAATACGGTGTAACATGCAGTGACACTTTTTTATTAAAATATATGCTATACATCCTACATTGTATTATTTTTCCTAGACTGTATTTAAATTTTGTAATTTTTGATTTATTATTTTTCTACAATTTTATAATTAGGGCCACTGTTTTGTTTCTAATAGAAGTTTAAAAAGTTTTACGTGAATAAATATTGTTAATTCATTCTTTAATAATTAAAAAACAAGAAATTTTAATTTGAAGTGATGTTGGTAGGTAGGTGACCAACGATACACCAGCCACGTGAAGAAAATAGAAGATTTTCTTCCCAGCACCATCTATCATCGACTTTCGTAATCTTTCGTGTCCTTTTCTTTATTTCATCAATTATGGTGGAAGCGCAACAAGTGTTTCAATTTTCTTGCTAAAAATACTTTATACAATTATACAATTTTTATTTTACGCCATGAAGACTGTGTAGTGTTTAGTTTTCCGATTTTATTAGTTTCCATTTTTACAACTTCAACATTTAACCTCCAAACCTGCCCAACCACTTAGAGGGAAACAAGAAGAAAATAATAATACAAAACTCGGTCAGAAATGGACATGAAAAACAATTTGGCATTGAAGAAGAAACGGGAATTATTAGGGGGCATTAACAAACGGAAAATGAGCCTGAGGAAGTACATGGACAACCTCAAACAAAGTGAGTGTCGATTGGACATTACCCAAATCACAAAGTGCGTTTTCTTGGGATCTCTGTGCCTCAAACCTGTGCCACAACTCTTCGATTCACCCCTGCTTCTGGAAGAACTTGATGCGAAAGTTGGAAATTTAAGGAGTGATTATGAAGAGTACATTGAAACTAAATCAATTATGAGTACTAAGGAACCAGTTACGAAAGAGTCTGTTAAACGAGGGCCTAAGAAAAAAACTCTAAATTTGTCTAAGATAAAAAAGAAAACACTGAAAGGAAAGACTGACGTTAAAACGACTCCAAATGGCTTCAATAGTGTGAAAAACGAAAGTGCAAGTGAACTTCTTGTATCGACCACAGCAACTAGTAATGTGCTTCCAGTAATAAATAACGAAGACAGTTCCCCAGTTGAGTCTTCATTCCAAAAAGAAACAAGTGAAAACGTGTCCAGAATTGAAGAAAATCAAGTGGAAACGGTAACAAATGAAATGGCCTTCACAGAAGACATGCTGGACATGAAACTGTTAAATCAGAATATTAAAGCAGTAAACCCTGATCCTTTTGCCTTTGAAGAAGATGAAGCAGAGCGACTTAGAAGAGAGCCAACGCCTGAATTAATCTTATCAGACTCTGATGAAGACGCTATTGACCAATTGATGTACAATATCATGGATATTAAAGTGGGACCAAACGTTTTTGACAAAGACTTCTTCGACATGCCCCCCTCAGACATAGAAGAAGAAGAAGAAGAGTATGAAGAATACTCGAACGATTCCCAAGAAAACAAAAACGAATCAAATACCCAAACGACCAAAGAAAAAAAATACAGCAAACGCGCTCCTCAGTGCAAAATCTGTTCGCAAGTCTTCCCCTCTTATATGCAGCTCAAAAAACACAAACAGGCCCACAACGGCGACAAACCCTACCTCTGCTTGAAATGTAATGAAAACCACCAGACTTTGGACCAGTTGATTGCACATCTAAGAACACATCAGGGTACACCCTTTTGTTTCGTTTGCATCAGTTTTCTTTTGTTTTTATTGCAGGAAAGCGGCCCTACGTGTGCAAGAAGTGCAACCAAGGGTTCAAGACGCTCAAGGGCTTGGAGAGCCACCAGCCGGTCCACGTGTTGAAAAAAGTCAGTTCCCAGAAACGAGTCTTCAGGTGTGAGGTTTGTAAAAAGGAATTTCACAAGTTGTGCGATTTAGAAAGACATACGAGGGTGCATACGGGGGAAAAACCGTCGATTTGTAACATTTGTAACAAGCGATTCCAACAAGCGCACAATTTGAATAAGCATTTGCTGATTCATACGCAAGAGAAGCCGTTCGAGTGTGATGTTTGTCATAAGAGGTTCGGGCGGAATGATGTTTTGAACAGACATTTGCTTACGCATTCGGTTAAAAAACCGAACCGGTGCGAGGTCTGTATGAAGAGTTTCATTCGGGTCTCGCAGCTTTTAGCTCATAAGAAAAAACACCATCCAGAAAAGCCTTCCTAGTTTTTGGGTAGTATTGTGTTGTTGCCGTTTTAAGGCAACGATGATCTCCTTTTTGTGTATAGGTAATTGTTATTTTACAGAAGAACGTTTATATTTGTTATATCGATGCGTTTTAGGATGCACTTTTGGGATCCGAAAATATCATTAAGACAATTAATTGAAAACACAATTTTAAACAATTTAAAGAATGGTTCGAATATTTAAAAAAAAATTGCGAACAATAAATTTGTACCACAATATTTATACAATGTACAGTTCTTAACATATAAAAAATAAATATGATTCAGCATATAACTCGGAAAACAGTCCCAGAATAAAAAAGAAAATAGTCAAAAATTAACATGTACATTGTACAAAATTGTCTAGGGGTTGTTGGTCAAATAATACAATAATATATACATATTTTTTAATTTAGTGGGAAATCTTATTCTTATTCAATTAACTACCAACAAAATACTCATTTTCGTTATATAAGTAAATATTCAACTTGTTTCTGGATCCCAATGGTCAGTTTGCAAATGAACTTGCAATAATTTTATTACTTTTAAGTCCACGAAAATACCAAAAATCAGGATTTACAATTTTTAATTTCACTACCTATTTTTTACCGAAATTGGTAATTATTTTATTATTTAGACTTTATTGGTACTGTACTGTACTGAGTGGTTACCTACAAACCTACTTTTCTAACTTTAATTGTTATTTTTTTATTTGCAGAATTTTAGTTAGGTTCCTAGTTATTCGTTTAAGTTTCATTATTAATTTGCAACGTTGTATCTACTTAAATTTGTAAATATGTACTAATTTTGTCACCTGAAGGATTCTTCTCTCAGTGCAATAGTTTTATTTTTATTCAGGTGACTCAATTGTTAGTTAATTTCCTCATATTTTATTATTACCTTTTGTACAAAATTATTATCCAAGTGTGATAAGTATTACAAAGTGCCTTTATGTATCTTAACAATAACTTATTGTGCCTTTCATTACATTTATTAAATGAAAACAAGTTAAAAACTTCAAAAGAATAGTATATTTTTGTCAGTGATATATTGCCTTACCTAGTTTTTTACAAATAGTTTAGCATACTTATACACTTACTTGTCCGTATAAATAACATATACTTTAAGATAATATTAGATATTAATAATTAATTAATTGTATTTGTTTAAAATAAATAAACGTAAAGTATTTTCAGTAATTTATTACCTATTTAGTATTTTTACAAGTAGAAAGTATGTTAGTGACCACAAATCATCGTTCATTCTGGTTATTTATTTATAAAAAAACAATTTTACAAAAATCCAAAATTAAAACTTTGTTTTCAATACGAAAATTTCATACAATTTTAAATAAAATTCATAGCTCCGTTGGCCAAAAAATGTACTGCCTTCAGGACATTTTAAATACGGTTTGTGAAACTTAAAATATTTGGCCAATTGGGCTAATTTTTAAAAGACTATCACACTATTAGATAGAAACATACAAACGTAAAGTTAAGTACTTACGCGGTGCAAACGTAACCTAGGTAGGATTTATAATGATCTAAAAACATTATAATTTTATAATAAATAGTTTATTTCGAATCACAATAAAGAAAATGAAAATTTGAAAAAAACTAATTTTTCACACATCCATAATTAACAAGAATGTAACGATCCATCCATTCTACATTTAAGATGTATAAAGTCCGCACGGTATTTCCGAAGATGTCAACTATTTACAAATGGCTCATTCACTTCAGTCAATTTTAACAGTAGAATATATCTTCCTAACAAACACACTGGTACCTACGTAACCCACCGTACCACACATTATACCGAGTGCTCCACTGAAGAGCGCCATATATCCGAAATAAAACGCAGTCTGGAACAGTCCATACATCCTAAAACAGAAAATTCAACATTTGTAAAATTATAAAAAAACAACTCACTTTGTTTTAAAAAAGAAGTAATAAATTGCATAAATATAGACATAGGCAGAAGTCGAAGCCGCTGCCAGAAAGGACGTCCATTGCCAACGATAATCTTCCGCATTTAGAAGAAAGTATGTACAAACAATTGTCACACATACAGTTACAATCATCAGTATAATAAACACCAAAAGCATAAATCCATACACGTAATAAATTTTGTAAGCCCAGAACGACGTAAAAATAAAGTACCTACAAAACAAAATTACTTTTGGAATATTTTTGGCAAAATAATAAATACATTTCGATGAATATGCTAGCAAATGGCAAAATTCCACCCATCAAAATAATCACTCCTGGCTCCATAAACCACTTCTTTTCCGGAATTGGCCGAGGTACTGCGTTGATACGACAGGGATAATCAGGCTGGCCTGCCAAATTACGCCCCAAAACAGTGCCAACCAGAGTCAGTGGCAAAATTATGAACAAACAGATGCAAGTCACTGCGACCTAATGCAATAAAATCAATAAAATTAAATACCCCGCCCCAAATGCTAATTACCATCGTTCCAAAAGGAATCGCCCTTGATGCGTGGTAATAAATCGCGATGAAATTAATAAAAAAAGCGGTGCCGCAAACAAACGCAGGCAGCATAAATGCAGACACTGTCATTTGTCTTATCCAGAGTTTTCCCCCCATTCGCGCGTAAAGAGACCCTCCAAAGTAGCCATTTATTGGGGACGTTATTGCGTAGACGAATATTGCTGTGGATAGAAGAGATCCTCGCCTGTAATTTTTTTGTTATTAAACGAATGTTGTGTGGAATAAGTGATTGATTTACTCGGTATATAATTCTCCAAGGATTGCGAAAACTATTACACAAAATACGACTGTTGTTAGTTGGTGGCCGGCTCCAATAAGTGATGAGAAAACAAGGGAGTTGGAAGCTGGACGGAACACATCGCCATGGACTTGCTTCCAACCGTATTCATCACCCAAATCTCTCTCCTAAGAATTATAAACAATAAACTTCAGTCACCTGAACAATTTTTAGCAAAATAATTCATCTGAATAGTTTTCAACATAAATGACAAAAATAACTTCATTGAATTTAAAATTTTTACATTTTTATTTAAAACTTTTTAGATAAAAAGTGACAATAGACAAAATGAGACAAGATAAAATATTTAAAAAAAGTGAATAATTGAACTAATAAAAAAGGTCTTGATTCCACGTTCTGGATGATTGATAGATAATTAAGACTCACCATATCATCAATATCTTCATCTTTACTGTATCTTGCATAATCTTTACGCAACGTGCGCATCAAAATCATAGACACCAAACCAACCAAAAATATGACCATCATGAAACTATTGAATATGCTAAACCAGTGAATCTGAAACAAATATTTTAAAATGGAATTATCAAATTGGACTGTCCTACTCTGTGTTGAAAGAAATTATGGTCCAAATATTTGTCAAATCTATCCTCAAACTTGGTTTCAGTGGGTTTCCAAATAACTTCATATGTGAAAGATAGTTTTCCATTGGGAGTCAAAAGCACTTTGTCTTCTGATGTAAGATTAACATCAATTATTTGTTTGCCATTGTAACCAATTTCAAACTTTTTGTGGGTCCAAATGTAATAATTGTTATCTTTCATTTCACCGACGACACCCCAAATGGGTAAGTCATCAATGTACATTTGGTACCAGTAGTGGTTTTTAACAGCATAGACAAATACTTTGTATTTGTCTTCATTTAATTGCACAGCACAGTATTCACCCTTCTGTACATTACCTGAAATTAAATTCAAGTTAGTAATTGTATTTTATTTTCAAGATTAGTTACTTTTGAATTCAATGTCAATCCCACTAAATTCCAATTCAACCCCTTGTAGCGCTTCACTGAGCGTTTCATGGTAGTGATTTATAGTGTCTTTTGAGCCCACACAAAACGGCAGGGAAAAATAAGCGTAAGTTTCTTGTCGGTTGTGATAAGGACCAACAGTGTTCATCCAAAGTATCACCTCTTCGTTATCTCCATACTAAAAAAATATATAACTTAAAATTACAAACGTGGACTTAAAATCACTGAATGTTTATCAGTGGCGTAAGCATATTAAATTTGCGAAAGAGTGTCTTGTTTACTTTTTACTTACTATGTGATTATGTTCATCTGAATACGCCCCAACAACGAGACACAAAACGATAAATTTATGTATATTATGCATTGTTTACACTAGTGGTAGTTTATTAATTACAAATTCAATGTTTTTACGATAAAACGACACGTTTCAAGTCCATGAATTACCGGAATCTCCTAAAAACCCATTTTCACACAAACGAGCACAAAATGTTGACGTTGAATTGACAGTTCAATCTGACAGCAGGGCACTTGATCATTGGCGCTTTCGAGTACTTTCAACATTATTAGTGTTTTGCATATCAAAAAATTATGAACATATAGATTAAGATTTTTTTCGCTACCAACTACTCTGATTTATCTTCACAAAACCTGTAATTTTCTGAAAAAAAAATTTCAAATAATTTTTGACAGGTACATCATTTTTGACATTTGTTGACGTATAAACATTCAAAATGAGGTTATCGGTGTCGGTGATTTCAGGCGGTTTATTTCTTGCATTTATTTTACATTCGATATGGAATTTGATTGGTATATTCAGAGTTCCAACTTGCATAAAGGGCGAGAAATGTTATATATCATATTTAAACACAAACCCAAACCTTGACTTGTTAGTTTACGTGTCCGATAACTCCAGATCAGGAAACGTGGAACAAGTGCTTAGTCTGGAGAAGTTTGATTACAATAACAGAATCGAGAAGTAATTCTAGATGATATGTAATTAACGGATCAATTTTCGTACATTGATTTTCAGAGAAATTCCAATTCAACTTAGCAAGACTGTGAGAAATAATGGTAGCATGTACGTTCACACAATCGTCATTCCAAGCAGTTCCAGAAAGCGGGATTACACTCTAAATGATTTAATAAACCAGCAAGATGCCACATATCTCAAATATTCCCTAACACAATACACAATCCCTGTAAGTGCAACATTCAATTTACTAAAAGAGGAATCTAAAAAACAGAATGTGAAACCAGTTACTCACTTGAGATCAAAATTTTCTGTCATTATGTGTACAGACAAATTCGAATTATCCTCAACAAACATTCCAGTTGAGATTATCAGATATTTGAGGATTAATTACAAAAAACAGTTTTTGCCAATTATGCAGCGCGATATTATGCAAATGAGGTTAAGAGACTTGATAGAAGTCACCAAAGATATGAGAGAGGCTACGGTACTTTTCACATACACGCCAGTTTCTATTGGCAAAATCAGATTTGTTTCACAAATTGACTCCACTTTACACCAATTTATTGCTTTGGGATTCACTGAAAAAGACTTGGATGAAGTTAAGGGAGTTTTTGCAGACACAAATCTTTATCTGTTGTGTGCAACAGTTCTCATTGGCAGTATACATGTAAGTAATGAAAAAATGTTTCTTCAGCTAACCATGAATAAAACATTTTTAGTTACTCCTTGATTTTCTGTCATTTAAAAACGATGTTAAATTCTGGAAAGCTCAAACCTCAATGGCTGGATTGTCCACCAGCAGTGTGTTGTGGAGGGCTTTCTCCCAAACTGTCATATTTTTGTATCTCCTTGATGAGGGTACGTCTTTGTTAGTTCTAGTACCAAGTGGGGTTGCAACATTAATTGAAGTATGTTGAACTACTTTATTAAGTTTAGATACAAAGTAACAATTTCAGTTTTGGAAAGTTAGTAAAGTTCTCAAAAAAAGTATCAAGTGGGAYGGTGGTCTAAAATTCAGTAAAGGAGAAAATGAAAGTGCAGAGGAATTACAAACGCGGAAATATGATGAAGAGTGTATGAAATATCTGTGTTATCTTTTGTATCCCTTATGTGCTGGTGCTGCTATTTATTCCCTGTTTTATCAACCACATAAAAGGTAACTAACGGGGTTAATTTCTCAAATTGATAAAAGTTGTTCCAGTTGGTACTCTTGGACTATTAATAGTTTAGTAAATGGTGTGTATGCATTTGGTTTCCTCTTCATGCTTCCCCAATTGTTTATAAACTACAGACTGAAATCAGTCGCTGCATTACCTTGGAGGGCATTTACTTACAGAGCATTCAATACTTTTATCGACGATATTTTTGCATTTATTATTACAATGCCCACAGCACACCGAGTGGCATGCTTCAGGGATGACGTAGTATTCTTAATATATTTATATCAAAGATGGTGAGTTTGTCCTTTGTTGTGATTTTATGATAAGAATATTTTTTTCAGGTTGTATCCTGTTGATAAAACACGAATTGACGATGTCACAAGTGAGACAATTTTAAGCGAGGATGAAAGTAAAAAAGATAAATAACCACGTAAATACTTTTCTTAGAGAATACAACAGGATTTAAATTATTTTATTACATTAATGTTCACAGGGTATCTACTGCCGTAACTGAAAAAGTAGCACAAATATTTGCAAACAACCCTCCAATTTTATTTGTGATAAAGTCTTAGCTTTGTTTGTGTTAACATGTGTCTGTGATGAAAACTTGTTGGTAAAATTATTTTAAACTTTTTCTGTATGTTGTGCTGGTTAAATGTTTATTTAATGTTACGAATTTTCAGCAATAATAATTGATGGTAAATTTCCTAACTAGTGTATTTAAATTTGTCCCGCCAGTATCATTTGTTTTATTTCACGTCTTTTAATTTTTCCAGAAGGGGTGATCGGAAAACTGGTGACGAATTTAACCCCCGCTCTGAGTTTTTGGCGGTCTTGGACCCTTTCAGCCACGTATGCTTCGATTTCTTCACCTGTAATTTCATCTTCTGGGTTATTTAAAATCACAATGGCCATTGGGTGATCTCCGTCATCTTCATCAGGGATTCCTATAACCACCGACAGTTTAATCGACGGGTGATTATTGAGAATATTCTCCAACATCGCAGGCGCAATATGCCACGATTTATACTTCAACATTTCTTTAATCCGATCAACGACATAAAAACAGTAATCTTCGTCGTAATAAACGACGTCTCCGGTTTTAAGCCAACCATCAGCGTCGAAACTTTCAGATGAATCTAGATTGTAGTAACCGTTCATTGCGTATTTTGTTTTGACTCGGAGTTCGCCTTGTTCGTTTGGTCCTAGATTTCTTTCAGTTTCAACATCGACGATTTTGTACCAAATTCCGTGAATCGGGCGGCCGCATGAAGAGGGCTTGTAGTGTAATCTTAAAGTGTCTTTTACATCGTTCATGTTGAAGCAAGTTAGCACACCTGCGACTTCTGTTTGTCCATAGCCTTGGCTTATGTAGGTTCCGGGTAGTAAATCCCTTAAAGCTAGTGACTGTTTTTCTGGAAAAACACCGCCTCCTGTTAGCACGCAGAGGAGGCTGGAGGTGTCAACGTTGTCTGGTCTGCCGACTTTTAGCATTTCTGAGGCTTGGCTAGGGGCGAGAAATGCAAAGGACACCTGAAATTATCATTATTTTAATACTTTATTTTTTCAGTGGTGAGTATTTAGACAATGAAAGTTATTAATACAATAAGGCGTATTTCCTATCTGTGATGTAAGCGGCAAAAAGGCATGTTCAAGGGGGCTAAAAGTGCTTTTTTATTTCATTTCATAATGATGCGGGAAAGTGCAAAAGCTTAAAACACACGTAAAGCAATAAAGCTATTGATTGACCTCGTATTTATCTAATATTTTCCAAATTTGTGTCGGATCAAAGCTTTGACAAATAACTCTAGCCGTCCCTGATAATACAGACGCCGTCAGAAACAAAACAGCAGATATCCAATAAAGGGAAGAGTAATACAAACTCACAGACGTAATAGCGCCATAATTTCTAAGAAAATTAATACGAAATAGATTTGTAAATTATTTGAAAAACTAAAATATACGTACATCACATTAACAGCTTGTGCTAGAAGAGCATAATGGCTTTGACAAATCCCTTTGGGGAGACCTGTGGTGCCGCTGCTGAAAAATATTACAGCGGTGTCTTCTGGTGATACGACAACTGGTCTGAAATCGTGTTCTTCGCTATTTGGAATTAGATACTCTTCAAATTGTTGGTGTGTGTCCGAGTTGCCGAAAATTACGATCTTGCAACTAATTTCAGCTTGTTCGATGGAATTTTCGATCAGGTTTAAGGCTTCTGGGACGATAAAAATGATAGTAGGTTTTACTTGTTTTAAAAGGTATGCTGTGTCGGTCATTGAGAGACTTGGGTCTAGTGATGTAACCTTCAATCCGAGGAACATTGATGCTATGAAAGGGGCACATATGTCTTTTTGATTGTATGAACATAAACAGACGAGATCGTTTTCTGTGAGGCCTTCCAGTTTCATGTTGAGTGCCGTTCTGATCGATCTTTTTAAAAGCTCTTTAAATGTGTCTTTTTCGCCAGTTTCTACAATGTACTAAATTTTGGGATTGTAAAAAGTTATAATGTCTTATTTACTTAAAAATATTACCTGTGCAACATTATTTTTATAAAATTTCATGGCCCGAAAAAACTCGTAACCAAGTCCTCCATTGGGTTCATAGTCTAAGGGTTGTGTTCTGATAATACTGTCACTGTCATCTAAAAATAATTTTTAACAACAATGTATGTATATACATATTTAAAAAAATCAAAAATGATTTTCTATTGTACTAGAATTTTTTCATAATTAAGAGATAATCACTGTCAATATTTTATTAAACGATGTATTGACTCACTAATAGATAATTCAAGAAATATTTTACCTTGGTGTCGGAAGCATAATCGATTGATTAATAAATGATACGAGTTTTTGAGAAAAGTTTGCCTAAGATTTATTTCTTATATTAAAGTAGTTTAAAAATTACACTTATTTAATTTATTCAAAGAAAAAAAATGTCAATGATTAAGTAAATTTTCTATTATACTTAGGTACATTACTTTCAATTTTCAATAAATAAAAAAAATCTTACTTGATATCAACGGGTCCATTGTTAGGCACAAATAAAAAACTATACTTAGTTCTTTTGACTGTCCTTACACCTGATATGTTTCAAAATGACTTGAAAACTTGAAATTATATCATGACGAAAATACAGTTGCATGTAAAACGCAAGCTGCAAACACAGTAATTATTCTTAATTTTAAAGTTTGTCTTAAGAATATCTTATTATCAAACGCCTTAGTTTCTTATTCATCAGATACTGAATAGCATGACAACGAATTGATTTATTGAATGAAAAGATAGAACATTATTCCATCAATAATTTAATGAAATTATATGAACACACAATGAAACTTTATATTGATGGATAACCATATTTTACAATTCGTATGAGAACAATAATGCACGGGGATGTTTATCGATAAAAGTGATTGATATCCCAAACTATACCTACCTAATGGTATTAATCATAAATTGTATTCACTTTACTACAAATTGTTATTACTATAATTATGTTACGGCTCTTGATTTTGTGTATTATTATTGGGGAAACATAATAGTCTGGAAAAATTACTACAATTTCATCACGTTTGTAAGTAGTACAAATAATCTGTTAATAAAATATTTCTTCACTTGTGTTAAAATATACCTACAGTCAAATCCAAAAAAAAGTGGTTGTCAATGTCATTTCCAAAATTAATAAATAATTTACATCACCACAAAATTGATTGCCAAACTTCATAATGCCAAGTAATTTATTTTTGTAAATTTAAGTACGTTCATTTATAAAGAAATAATTAATTGTATGCCAAAATTTCACATTAACGACCACTTTTTTGAATTTGACTGTGTAATAAGGATTTTCTAACTTTATATTAATTAAAATTCAAAGTATTGTATTTTGGATGTTTTTAGTTCGTATTCGATAAAATTTTTAGGGTTGTTGAGTAGCAAAAAAGTGTCCATCATAAAACAAATAAAATTTTGATTGGAAACTGAGGTAAAAAATTGACTTCTCGTCTCCACAAATCTCTTTGTATTGTTTTCTTGTATTCTAGATTAACCATTTTTATTTATTTCATTTTTAAAATTTACATTGTGGTAATGTTCACCCAGCATGCCAAGCTTTTTGGTTCTTTTTCAAAAAAAGTTTTATGATCCACCCGGTAGATAACCATCTGCACATGCGCAGCGCGACCATCATCGACCACTGGTTAACAAAGCAAGGCAAGGCCATCGAGGGCTGCGGAAAAATGGCAGCCGCTGTGAGTGGTCCTGCAATTCCGATTAATCAAACAAATTTAGAAAAAGTAGAAAGGTAAGTCTAACAAAAAGTTGCATTTTCCACCTTTTTACTTGAGTTGTAACTGCCACTGTTTGCTTTCYATTGTTTAGACACCCTGAACRGTTGGGTGTAGCATCGCAGGAAAATCAATATRACGCCTTGRGGACAATTTGGTTTTACTCATTTTCGCTTTTCTTTGCAGCTTCTTAAGCGATCCGTTGTATAATGAGAGTATAGAAAGCTCATTAAATTACAATACGCGGCTATGTATCGAAAGGCGATTACGACTTCCCTTCATAGACGCTCAGACAGGCGTTGCCCAAAATCATTCCTCGCTATTCATGCACAAGAGACAACGGATCCCAGGACTTCTACCGGGGCAGATCTACACGTATCCACGCCAGAGATGGAGAAAGAAAAGAAGACAGTATTTGATAGTGAATTCAAGGGCATTTGCAAGGGCGACAGATTCCATGCTGGATGGAGATGCTGATATGCACAATATATCACAAATTGAAAATCCTGCTCTTCAGGATACTGATAGTAAAGATAGTCAGTTGTTGAAAGATGATTCAAAGGTATTTTTTGTTATTACAAAAACACCTATAATGAGCATTTTTTAATTAGGATTGGTATTATGATGATCAAGATATGTTAGAAATGGACGCCTATGATGAACCTGATCAAGATTCTGATTTGGATTATGAGGAAACGTACAGTAAAAGAAGTAAAAGGAGAAAAAATACAGGACGGGTAAGAAATTACTATACACATAAGCACAACCTTCGAATAATGGCGTTGTTCACTTTTGAACCTGTTTTTCTTAGGGTTGTTGGAAAAATACCTTATTTTTATGAAACAATAGCATATTGTTAAAAAAATTATGTGAAGAAAAACACAAGTCCAATGAAAAAATGCTTTCTGTAACCTACAATTTTCTTAACATTTATCTGTTTGCGATAAACATGTTTTGAGGTTTAAAATATGTATGTTTTAATTCTGTTCGTAGGGTCGAGGTGGTAATGATTCACCTAGTACTCCTGGTAGAAAAAAGGGAAGTGGTAGAGGTCGAAAAAAAGCAGTTCACAGTTTTGAACCAACCCCTGGAGATCCGGACAAGCCATTTGCTTGTGAACGTGAGTCTTATTTCTAACTTTCTATATAACTTTAGTACATAAGTACATTGTTTTATCACGTAACTACCATGAATCAGAATAATTTCGCCATCAAAGAGTTGGAATATGTACTTGTATAATTTCAACTGACACGCGAAGTGAATCCCAATTTTTATATCTATTTTAAGATACATTGATTTATTTCAGTCATTCCAATCTAACTCATTATTTTTGTTCTAACTTAGAATAAATTAAAAAATTGGGATTCTTGATTCTATTTTGTGTAACTATTACAGTGGTTTGCTAGATCTTATGAGTGGTTTTACGAAGCGATAAATAGTTTGAATAAATTTGAATTCAATAATATTCTTAAGCCTGTAATATGGGTATTGGTTTGGTTTAGAAAAAGTACATACTTCAATTAAATTTCAAATTTGGAGTATAATCAACTTGGTTCACCTTAAAAGAAAGAACTCTGTGCTTGAGCATGTAACATTAAAATAATCTTTTAAGAACTATGTTGAAGATGATTTGTAGTTCTCTTAGCAATAATAATGTTTTTGAATGCTTGATGCTTAGTACAGCTTCTTCTTATTGTTTAGGCAGGGACTCGAACCGAAACCATGCCATGTGTATATAATTTCTCCTCCTATCGTTTATTTTATGCCTTACTATTTTTTTGTAGCGGTTCCAAATTTCGGTTCGGGTTCGCTTACCTGGCGCTTTGGTTCTTTGAGCTACACCTAGTTTTTGTCTGTCGCTACTAACAATTGACAACACGTTTAGAGGGCGTATTGTGTGCTTTTTCTTGTCGCAATCCAATTTTTGAAAAATATCGGTTCCAGTCCCTAGTTCTATTCATTTCAAAATGATGATCTTCTGAACTACAGTGTAAGAATCTGGACGAGTCTACAAGTATTCAACATGGTGGTATTAAAATGCTCGATTTTCCGTATCGCTTATATACTAACACGTTAATACTATCCATCTGTCCAACTAATATACCTAATTGAGGGTAAATTATTTTTCGTACTCTTCACGCGAGTGTAATACGTCAACAAGTGAACGTGAGAAATTGTTAGCCCACTGAAAAGTGAGCTTTTTAACAAGAATTACAGATTTGTGGGGTCCTCTTTCCACAGTGTTGAAGCGAATGTTTTAGGGGCTTAATCTTCTTTCATTGTTTTTTCCATAAACAATTGGCTTTCAGAAGATGATCGTTTGAAATTTGACTGTAACATAAATCATCGTTAATCGTGTAATCAAAAAGTGGAATTCGGCATTTTTTTTTGAAAAATTTCAGTGTGCGGAGCGCGTTACAAGACTCGACCCGGGTTGACATACCACTACAGCCATTCACACAAAGAGGGCGCTAGTGATGAAAACTCGCGCGACAGTAACGCCCCCACCCCTTCCTCGCAGCTTGGCGCTGCGTTGATGCAGGGCCCCCACGGCCTCAACCCGCCCATAATGGGTGGGATGTTGCCGGGGCCCGTTATGTCTCAGCCGCCCATGCTGGGGGGGATGGGGGAAGAGGCCCCTACTGCCATACCTCAAGGGCCCGTCATCCAAGGACATGTGTATCAAGATAGTTATGTTTCCTTTTTGAACCAGACACCCGGTACTGCCTTTATAATCTCTTTTACTTTCATTTGAGTGTTATTTGCATGCATGAGTAGTTGGAATGACAAGCTCTATTAGATCAGTTTTACATTTTTATTTAACTTTGTAGTTCTCTTCAATAATTTATATTGTAATTTATTAACAAGTACCAGTTCTTAATTTTTGGCAGTTAAGTGTATTATTGAAAATCTCAGTTTTTACTGCACACTGACCAATTCAGCAAGTATTATGTGTTATCAAGAGTGTGATTTGAGCATGAGTGTATTTTTTATTTTTATTTTTTTTTAAACGATGGAAATCTGTACCAACAGATTACACCACAGACGACATGAAATAATCTATTGGGACTGATTTTTCATCGATTTTTGATTGAGGTGACCCGTTTCATAACTTTTTATTGTATCCTTTTTAGAAGAAAGATAATGGTGGAGTTAACTGAGAACTGTATCCTACAGGTACACCGGGTCGTCGAGGCCGTCAGCCAAACCCTCCTCCACCTTCTATTCCTCCTCAAATAATGCAACCACCGTCACAATCCAACACACCTCCAACGTTACCTCCCAATTTACCACCAGCACAACCTTCTCCCCCAGTCGATGATCCTCCAATGCCTGTCTTGCTTCCCGAAAAAATCGATCCTCCTCCCTCTACGTCAATGGACTGCGGTAAAGATAAAGCGGCACCTAGTCCTTACTGTGACTTTTGCTTAGGCGATTCAAGGGAAAATAAAAAGACTGGCGTAATGGAGGAACTTGTATCTTGTTCCGATTGTGGGAGATCAGGTAAGAACGGAGGAAAAACCGATGACAAAGGAAATAATAAGAAAGGGAGGAAAAAAAAAGTTTAGTTTAAACTATCAGAATAGATATGTTGAAGGTTTAGTTGTTGACCAATTTTTAAGGGGCGTTGGGACTTTATTCTGATAAACGCAACTAGTCAGCAAGTTATTTATCATATTTACGGTGCTACTAGATGCGTTTATTTCTATGTATCATATTTATAATGTGGGTCCTATAACTGATGTTTTTAAGACAAAACATTCGTAACACCACTTTATCAAAATTTTAAATTAGCGAATTGTTGTATAAACTGTGTAAATGTTGCATTTTAGTATTTTTTCTGGTAGTTGAATTGCTGAAGGACCAATACTGGGCATTTATATATTATATATTTTTTGTCAAGATTATTGATATTGTTTCTTGTAGTACTAACGAGCTGCCAAAAATGTACAAAATTCTCATCTTTTCTTTATTTAAGCTCAAACTTTTTTTTGTCTGTGATAATTAATATTCTAATAGGAAAAACTTGAATTTTGATCTGATGATGATGAGAAGGGGAATCTCATTGACTTCACATAAAAAGCCTTCTAGGGTATTTTACATTTTAATAGAATGTAGTCTAGGAGCAAAAATTCCTAAATAAAGTAATTTCCAGAGCTTGAAGCAGACTCAACAATTAATTTATTTATAAATAATCTGAACAATAATTTTAATGTCCAGTATTATACGTTTATACAGTTCCTTACGTAATTACTATAAATTTATAACATAAACTATTATTTCATGCAGTTGATTTCGACTATTAAAACTACCATTGATTGTTCATAGTTATTTTAATCTATAGTTAATTGATATATTATAGATAAACATTAATCAACTGTATTGTGCTTTAAGCTAAGTAAAATTAGTTAAATATCTTGCCAGATAGACTGGATTACCAAATATTTAATTTTTAGTTGGGTTTAATTATATTCAAAAAAATCCATATTGGATTGTCTTCCAAAATTTGAGGATTTATTTATTTAATTTAGTCAAGGCTTATTTATTCATATTAACATTAATTTGTATATGGGCAATACTTAAAAATACTGTTGTACAATTTTAAACAAAAATTACACTAAAAAGCTAACATTTAATTACGCTCTAAGAGGGCATTATTTTTGACACATCACCGTGATACGGATATTGGAGATGTTAGTTGGCATTGTTTGTAAACACGAGGCTGGAATTAGTGAAATATTTTAGTCACTTTTAAGACATAATAGTTGAAAACGGCATAAGACAAGATAACGGATAAACTTGTTACAAATTCCCCATAATAATGTAAGTGAAACTCTTTAAATGTCTTAATATAATCGTTATCATTCACTTTCATTATTTTGGGCTGTCAAAGACTTTGACTTATGTTATTCAACTATTTTTAACATTATTCTAGTGGCACTATCTTTGTGAATATTTTTATATACTGACTTTTAAGCAGTTTTTAGTTATATTATTTACTGTTATTTAACGTTTATCAAGTATTGCCGAGACTACAAAGTAAAAATATTTTAGTCAATTCGTTCACATAGTTTAATAATTATGTGCTGTAGTAAATGAAACACTTGTATTTGAATGTTTTTTACACCAAGACACGTTGTATATAAAATGTGTGCTGTAAAAAACATCCAAATTTAACATACACTGATGAGTTGTAAGAACAGTTATTTTCCAAGATTAATATTATTGAAAAGTGTATCGTGAAAATCGTGCAATAAAATGATGCCAATACAACAAAATGTTGTTGTTAATTTTTCAGTGCTGAGGATTGGTGCACTTCAACTTATGTACATTTTTCTATAACATTTTTTCTAGTTATTTTAATGCATTGAAATTTGCTATTCGAAATTCTATTATTTTGATGCATTCAAAATAATATTAGAGAAAAATTACGTAACTTGGAAAGTCACTGTTCTTCGGCACTCGTTTACCCCCTCTCCCCTCCACCGTGCAAGGTAAGTACATTCAATACACAGCACATGATGGGAAGTAACTTTTAAGATATCCCTAATAACATTTCATACTTTTTTTGAGGGATTATTGAATTTTATTTTGTATCTTAATTGTTTTCTTGTGAAAAAAAAACAAAAGCACAAAGAAATACATTTAAGGATAAGTGATCTCAAACTTTTGACGAAATAATGAGATTATAAGAAAAGGTAACTCGAAGCTAAACTAAAATAACAAACAATAAGAAATTACTTCCAAAAAAATGGAATTGAATTATAAAACAATAAAAAACACTATATACAGTGCCGTCATAAATTATCAAGAGCCGACCTTTTAGAGATTTTACATTGCTGTCCAGTTATTCCGGTGACGTTGTCCTTGATCATTTATGAATGCACCATATATTTCGAAGGGACATAAAAGTAGAAAGTACAGGTAAGCTGAACTTTATTGGGTCCCATTTTCAGCAAAAACTTAAAAATTCGGCCCAGAAACATGTTCATTTAACGAATCTTTTTCAGGACACCCATCTTGCCTCTTATTCACCGAAAACATGAAAATATCTGTAAAGAAATATAGCTGGCAATGTATTGAATGTAAATGTTGTTCCGTTTGTGGTAATTCGGATAACGATGTAAGATTTAGTTTTTGTTATGCGATTGGGTTTAATAATTCTTTTACAGGACCAGTTGTTGTTTTGTGACGATTGTGACCGTGGTTATCACATGTATTGTCTCTCTCCGCCTTTAACAGATCCTCCCGAAGGATCGTGGTCCTGCAAACTATGCATCGAGCAATTCCATAAGTAATTATTTTCAAATGTAAACAAATTACTTAAACGATAATTCGAAGTTTTCCGTTTGTTTCAAGTGTACATTAATATTAGACTTAGTTTTAAGTAAGTATTTTTTTTATAAATTAGTACTTAGGATAAGGTTAATTATATGCACTAGGTACTTAACACGATTAATATAGTACTTAAAATTACTTTGGCCTACACTAAACTATTTTAATACGGTTTATTTTCTAAGAGTCCATTTTTATTGTAGCTACCTCGACAAATTTATTTATAAGTAAGTACCTATCGATATAGGTTTTGCGATGATGCTTTGTTTTTCTATTTTGTATTCAACTGTGACAATATTTTAACAAATTATATATTTTTCATGTAATTATTTTCATGGCAAGAAATATATATATATATGAAAAGTGTCTTTAATTTTGGCATTATTCATTCTGCCGCGCAGATCGCAAATGAACCGTACGTAAAATTATGATGTGAATGAAAATTTGTTGCATGTTGGGTAATTTAGATTGCTCGAAATTTTCAGTGGGCAGGCAACCAAATATACATATTGAACTAAAATTTATAGTTTTGTTGCAAAATTGTTCCTTTTACGATATTTCATTAATAAAACGTTATTTTTGACACAAGACCTTAAAAAGTTACTATAAGTAAGCGTAGTATGAGCGAAGAGTCTTTGATACCAAACCTTGCAACAATCGCACGATAAGGTTTTATTTTAGGACGTAATAAACAACTTAGCGATATATAAGATAATGTTATCAATTTGGATTTCAAAATTCATCAACTGTTTTAAAGCTGCCGATAATTACTGCAAATAACGTGTTTTTACTTACTGGTATCACCTTGATTTCAAATCGCGCGCGCTAGGAAACAGATGATTTCTGACTTGTGCTTTTGTTGTGACTCACATCCGATTCGTGTCCTAATACTGAACTGGTTTGTTGACTCTCGCCTTGTTTTTTCGAAAATCTCTCCAAAATTTGTGTTTTCCATGCCAGTTTTTTTTCGTGGTGCTTCTGTACATTACCGTCCACAAGCTCAGGTGAGTATTATTCGGAAAAAAACAGGCTAAACCGTATTTTTCGTCGTGAAACTTGAACAAATATGTCACCAGAAGTTCCTTGAAAAGTGTTTCATAAAATTAACGTTGGAACGCAATACGGTCGAAGTACGGAATAATTACTGCTTTTTTTCGTTATTTGTGATCTAGACGATTGATTCTGCGTAATTTTTGGCTATTTTTACTGCCCCTTGGGGGCCAACCTATATTTGCTCAGTCCTTTGTTTTCAAAGTTGCACGTTATGGCCTACTGTTGCTTAATTTTTTTTTAAATATGGTCATTGCTATGTTAGATCTTGTCAAGAATATGCTCGTTGTGGTGTTTGTGATATACGAAGGTATTTTTGTAGTGCTTGAAGAGTGTTAAGAGTATTACTTTTTTGATTTCATTGCGTTGAAGCAGATGTTATAAAGAGCTTTAACGGTTTGTTTGTAAATACGTTTCAGGACAGACGTTTTTAGAACCATTTCGGACATGTGGGTTCTAAAAATGACTTCTTTTGATTCACGTAAACTTTTGTTCTCGAAATAATTCCAATGATTTCAAAAAAACTGGTCTGGTGCTAGGTTGTGACATCATTTTGCACAAAATGCAAAGGCAAAATTTCTGCTGTTTTTACTGCCAGAAGAACTATTTATGGATTTAATAACGCATTGTTAGTTTCATTTTTAAGAAATTATCATTTTTTTAACATTTCTTTGAAATGAATAAAGTTTGAAAGTATTTTCATGTTACAAGAAATATGTTGTACCAAAGTATTAAAAAGAATGTTCAACATTTAAATTGCTGGTTTATCGAAAAATGTTAAAATACCTATTTTATCATTGCATTGTTGTTTTTCAACCACTGAACAATGAAGAAAATATTTACATGATACCATAAAAACAAAATTTTTGTTTTACTATTTGAAACTGATAGTTTTTTTGCCAACTTCTACTTTTATTATTATTTAACACATTAATTACATAAATATTTCAACAGTAACCCGAAAAAATTGATTAATTGTTCGTTATCATGTAATAAACACAAACAACGATAAAGGTGTTGATAATTAAAAGGCAAAAAATTAAAAAACGTCGATCATACAATATCAACATGTAATCTATTTACAAAAGTTCTAAATAAATTGTAAACCATATTTTTTTCAAGAATTTTGTCTTTATAGGTCGTCAAAAAAAATTGAAAAAAAATTATAGGACCCATTTTAAATTAACGTCACTAATATACTTGTGACTACGTCCTACATTTTTAGAACACCATACATAGTCATACATATTTTATGATTAGGAGTTGATAGAGATTTATTTTATTTTACGTAATATGTATAACTGTCATAAATATTAATTTGTGATTAATTCTAAATAACGAATTTTAATTCACTTTTTGTAAATCGATCCATTAGAAGTCAGAAGGTCTCTATTATGTTTTTGCTAAATAAAATACAACTCTGGAATATATGTTGAAAATTCCAACTTCATTAAAAATATGGAAGAATTCCAGCTGTTAACAAAACTTACGTGTTTCTGTAGGTAAAGAATTATCTTTTTTTGGCATAATGATCTTGTGGTTGCATTTTGTACAGCAAATCTGTTCTCCTTGACAGACTCGTGAGTAAAGTCACGTACAAAAAAGATTTTCAATAATCGTGAGTCAATTTTTTTTCTTTTCCAGTAGATCTTTTATTTTTGGTGCAAATTGAGATCTGCCATTTTGTATGAGATTATATTTCAGTTCAGCTAGCAACAAAATATTACCCAATAAAAACTTGATCACTTAATGTAACACAATAATAAGACTAATGATAATAGGGACCCACAATTTATTTTTCATGATATCAACACAACATACCATTCACAAATTACGTTTGCTGCGTTTATTTTGTAAGTCATTTTAAATATAATCTGTGAGCAAAAGGTGTTCTAATTGTAAGTGGTAATGTTTTTTTTCTTTTGGTTCAAGGCGAAAATATTGCTATTTTGATGGGATTTGTTATTACACATTGAAAACGTTTTGAACTCGATTTGTAATTTGAAATTTCCACTCTGATGGGACATAATAACATCTTTCTTTTACGACAGATGTTCAACATAGTCTAGTTTTGGCTAAATAAGCGGATGTCTCATATTTAGTTCACTTGACCCTATTTATTTAAATATGGGGTCGATTTTTAGGGAAATTTTCATGATTGTTTGAGTATATTTTTTTATGTCAAATAATTAAGTTTTAAACGTCATTTCTAAAGAGATTGCATTTGTAAGCAGAACTTTATCTGAATTCTGAATAGATTAAGTTTTAAATCGTTGTAATTTTTATCATGTGACTAAGTATAATTACCGTTAATATCGTTTGCCTCATTCCGTGTGCAAGTGTTGATTATATTGCCGTGATTTGGGATTTAAACGACAGCAATTTGAACTTCAGGTTCCCCTTCAGAGTAGGTTAAAAATAAACTCAAGAAAAAGCAGATAATGTAAGATTAATCAATCTTTATGCGATGCGAGGTTATCAAATGAACGTTAATCTAATTTTTAAAGGCACCTACATTGGCAATTTTCAACTGCGTATTGTAAAATAAGTAAAAAGCATTTTGTGCAAAACTAAATGCGATAAAGTTGTAACAAAGCTGTCATTTCCTTTCAGATAACCTTTCGTAACTTTCATTTGGTTTACGTCTTCATTTTCTCCCCTGATGTGAAGGATTTTGTTAGAATACGAAATGAAGGAAGAAATTTTAGCTGCTGTTATGTTCTTTATAAGGTTCATTGAGAAAAGCGACAAGTTCCCTCAAGACCAAATCGAAAATTTCAAAAAGCATCTAACCGAACTTCTCATGGAAAGGTAAGTTTTTTTATTCATCAAGTTTTATTTTATAGGCGTTATTAATCATAGTCAAATAACATAATCCACTGAATAGTGAATAGATAACGATGCGTGCATACGAACTTTGTAAACAATACTTTAAATAGCAAAGAACTTTGACTTTGTAGATTAAATATTATTGTTCTACGTACGGTTCATTTAAAGGTACGCATAATGTTTATGTTTCATAAATCGGTGGAAAATGTACTATGACGATAATATATTTTACTTTCTTACTGTTTAAAGGTTCAGATTGAATAATTTGTAATTAATTTTCTATATAAAAAAACGTCAGAAAGCCTTGAAATTTTACTTGAAATAATAGTGGACGTAATAAAAAAGCAGAAACGCTAAATTGTTCAGTAAGTTTCTTATAATTTTCTTAAATCTTGTTGCTAAATTTTTATCATTTTTATCTTTTTTTTGGGGGGGGGGGTTGGAAGAGGGAGTTTTATTTGGCTAAACAGATTTCATTGATGCGGTCATCATTTCAGAAACTAAAAAACAAATTTACAATAATTTTGACTAACTGAAATCCATTTATTTTTTGAACAATTTATTATTTCAAGAATAGAATTGTATGTAGGTACAATAGTAGATTACAGGTATGGCTAAATATTTTGGTTTAACCGACTGAATTATTAAAATATTAAACAGTTTGCATAATAGAAATAAACTTACTTCTGCATAGTAACAATTTGGACGCTTAAAGACTGTGATATAAGAACGTTTTTCGTGATCAAATAGCATCAATAACCTGAAATCTGACTGAAATTATTCAGCCTTACGAAACTTTCTGAGTTCTTTTACAATTAACGTTTTTAGTTTCACATTTTACGTAAACTGTTTATGGGTACACATTTAAAGTTTAAATATTTATTCTTTACAAGTAATTAAATTGACGCATTACATTGTACGTTGTTAAATGTTTTAAATTGAGAATTAAATGTAGACAAATGTGTATATATTACTACGAAAGTTAATATTTAAACAGTAGTGAAAGCAGTAAACAAAAGAATAATGCAAGAACATAACCAATTAGAATTACAAACATATATTTGTATGAAAAGCTTATTGTAGGTATAAATTAGTTGAATGGGTACAATTTTCTTACTGAAATGGAACTTTCTTTATTCTATAAAAAAGGGGTTCTAAAAATTACCCCAGATAATAATAATTGAAACCTCTAAAATACTTTTGAAAGTTGCAGTTACAAGAAAATTATTTATCATTGATACTACCGCCACGCCTATTTTTTATATTTTGTAAATAAAATAAGCAAATTTGAAAGATTACTAAAAATACCAAGCTAAAAATGTGTTTGCAAAAGAAAATAAAGTCAATTTTAGTAGTTTGTAGAACATTAACTCTTTGTTTAGAAAATGAACACGTAAAGACCCGATTTAATTAATTAATTTAGTGTAAAAATGGTTGCTAAAACACACTTTTGCAGTTTCGGTGTTTTCTTTTGTGTTCTGATTTCTCGTCTAATTAACTACTCATGTTTTAAATTTGTGCGATAGTAACAAAGATGATGAAAAAGATTTAACTCAGCACAATGTTTGCATGTCTACAGCAAACATAGACATATTTATAATACTGAAAAATTAAACATATTAAACTAAATACATTAAAATACAAACTGAATAATAGATAAGTCCAATTGTTAAAGTTATTTTTGTAACAAGGGAAGAATAAAAAGTTGTTTCCTGTGTTCCATATACAGGTGCGCCAGAACTCGCGCTCCAGAGAAAAATGTCATGTAAGGAAAAAAAAATATCTATAAACAAAAGGTATGAGAGTTTAAATTTTGCAATTTGACTTATTTCTATTGGAAAAATAATTTTCCATTTTTTTGCTACAGGCTATTAGAAGAGGAAACAAGGAAACTGTATCCTCTAAATTGTAACTCTGTTTAATGTTATTTGTAGTTTTTATTGTCAAATTTTTTGTACTTTTAGGTTTTACTAAATAATTATAAAAAAAAAACATATACAAGATCATCAGTATCATTAAATCGACATAAAAAAGGCAAATGTCAAAAAATAAATGTCATAATTTTTTGACCGATAGAATTATTTAAACATTTTTTCCATGTTCCTGGTATCTTAGCTTACTTGGAATTTTTCTCTGGGGCGCGAGTTCTGACACATCCTGTATATACTTTTTTCTAACACTAAAGACAACTTTAGACAAAGAAGTGTATATCCCACAATTTTGGGGACTAACTTTCTGTTTCTTTGTTTTAAATGTAGATATTCAACAATAATTGAAAAATATTTTAAAAAACGACTAGCCTCAATGTGTGATAACGTAACAGTAGCCGGAAATTTGTTAGAATACTTTTTCAGTTGTTGATAGGAGTAATAACAATTTATTATTTATGGTTGGATAAAAGTATACGAATTGTACACAATGGTAATTATTTTTTAATCGAAATTTTGAGTATTATATCGGTTCTAAAAATTCAAGTTCTAGTTATTGAAATACAAAATATAAAAATAAAATATGGTTACTTAATACCAGCTCTATTGAATTTCATTTACTCTAAGTTAATTTAATAAAAGTAAAAGTTTTCATTTGTGAATGTAACATTCCCAATTTTATTCTATAATGTATTATTTTTTTAATAACAATACCAAATTATTGACAGTTTCAAAAAGGAAAATAAAACAAAATGTCACCTTATCTCTATTACACCAATAAATTTAACGATCCTTATCTTTTTGACATGCATTACTTTCACCAGTTTTCTAAACATCAATAAGTTTGTGATCCCTTGGACGGTATCAATTATAGCTAAAACCTTGAACTTCATTTAAAAGTTAATTTATGTTGTTCCCAATTTAATAACAGTGGATATTCTAATACTTGTCTTTCTCCTAGTTGTAACACTTATATTACTAGAAGGTCGGAAAAATAGTTTCGGTAGGATAAATTCCCATGGTAGTAAACAGACTAGTCATAATAACTGAAGCGTAGTAAAATTTCAAGCAAAACTTTTGTAACTAACATTGAAAATAAAGCGTCACGGATCGTGATTGATCACCTTCGTTTGCGTTTTTGTGCGATAATTATTTGTTTAATACTGCTGATTCGAACATTCCAAATTCCAATTTGATTACCGAAATTAAATAATCACTGATCACGTAATTGACGATTTTTTTTTTCGGTTATGACAGATTTGAGAAGCATTGGTTTCCGGAACTCCCAAGCAAAGGTCAAGCATACCGATGCATCCGCATCAACGGTATAAGTCCCATTGATTTGACCTTAGAACGTGCTGCCAGCAAATGTGGTTCGTCCTACAGTGATCTTCGATTGCCCACCGAGCTTACGGTGTGGGTTGATCCTAGTGAAGTATGCTACAGGTAAAGATGAGTCGACGGTTTCCTTTTTCAGGTCATTTAATTGTGTTTTTGTTGCAGACTCGGCGAATCGGAAGGTTCGTACTGTACGTTAGCTACTTTCCCATCAGAGAACCGTTCTTCCTCATCTGAGAATTCGACTCCGACATCAACTCCTCCTTCGACTCCTCTACAGGAAAAACTGTTACGTAAAGTACAAAGACCACCGTATCAAAGGTATTCAACCGACTTTCCGAATAAATATCGTAACCCTCAAAACATGTTCATCTCGCAGTTTCGGGTCAAGACAGCGAATGAGGTAAGTTTTATTTTTATTCAGCGAAACGAGTTTTTATGTTATTATGTGATTTAGGGGAATTTCAACTTGGGATCTAATCGTCAGATATGCAGAGGATCCTATCCTACGAACCCACCGTTCTATAAAAACATGAATATGAATAGAACACACTACAAGAACGTATGTAGAGTGTAGTAGTTCGTCTCATCTTTTTTTCTCAAGATTAATGGTAGATGGTCATTGTTCATGATTAATCCCAGATTGCCACCAGCTCCTATCAGGAATAAAATTAAAATATTTGCAAAGTATACAAAATACTTCCGTTGGAACGAACTGGTGCTTTTAAAAATTTACACTTTTATATGTATAAAGTTCAGGTGCCTTCGTGTCATTTTCTGTATATTTTGTAATTTCATCATATTTTTAATCGAGTCCAAACTATAAGCAGTTTGTTTTTAGGTATTATTGAGAATTTTTATTTTGTAATTTTAAGTTTGTTGCTGTGATAAACTTCTGTCATGACAGATAATGCCATTTGCAATATTTTGCATTTTCATTTAAGGGGTTTTTCTAAGGAAACTCTCACTCACAATAATTAAAATATTAAATCAACAATAGTTTTCTTTACTTATATTAAGTATGTATATTTTGAGATTAGTTCCTTTAGTTTTTAAAACTCATGTTCAGTTTTTTTAATCATTGTGAGTGATTGGTTTTCACTTCGAATCTGCATATTGTGATTAGCTTTAATCTTAAAGAAATCTATAATTTTCCACAAATCATGTGATTTTTGTGTACATATTTGACTGAATTTTTTATCGTATTGCCAAAAATTCTACTATCGTTAACGCTTTAACTTAGTAGGAGTATCTGTTTGTGTAAAATGACATGCTTATAGTTTGACAATTGAAGTACAAATTGTTGAAATCGTTCAAAATACGCATATATTTCATCTTTTTGTATAATTGTCTTCGTTTTGTATATGTTTTCTTGTATATAACTGTAAATGTGTTTTTTGTATTTCTGTCGGTAGTCATCATCGGGAAGAAATTCCTACCAACGCATTTGTGATCATTTGACTTTCATCTATCGTTAATCCATGAAAGTTTTCTTGTTTTTTAACGAAACGCTTGATTTAAGGATTTGTACTTGTAATTTCTCTCGTACTATTATTTTATAAAATTATTCATAGTTTTTAAGTTCTCATTATTGTATGATTAGTATTCAAATGGTTCACTTATTTTCAATTCTTTTGGTGATTATCACATTTACCGAGCTACAACATCATATTTCGTTCATATTTCCAAATCTCCGTGGTCCAATTACATCGTTGTCTGTAGTATATCTGTCTTGTAAATTAATTTTTTGTATAGTAGAATATAATATGAATATTTGGAAATGTATGTGGTACAGAATTATCCTAAGGTATTAATGTCTAATTTAGTCTACGCGTAATGTAACTTTGACTGATAATGGTACAAACTAGATTGTGATTAAAGCAGTGGTGTTATACGAAAATGGTTATGTTACTTAATGACATTTTTAATGATTCTGTACGATACATAGATGCTAGGTTTGGTTCTAAGGTTGATTAATACATGGATTATTTGAATATCAAACATTAAAAACAAAGACTAACAGGGTTTCAGCATGATGGATTAGCAAAATGAGGCCTAAGTGTAGAAAATTTTTATAAAAATTTTTGTAATTTTTTACTTAGCTTTGCATTAATTTGCATTTAATTTTTTAATTAAGGAATGATGGTTTCATTTAATTAATCCACCTGTTACAGGTTTGTATTAGATATTTTAAACAGATGGATTTCTTGGAATTACGTACAAGTCATCATGTCTCGTCGCAGCAAGTGCAATTAAAATTTGAAAATATTGTGATATTTACTTCTAAACTCCAAATTTTTAACGTAAATTTTGCAACGCGTATGTAATTCTTTGAAGTATCCACATTTTTCTGTAGAAATTGTATTTAGGATATTAGTGATGTAATATATTGTGTAGCCATAGAAATATATTAATGTTAAATATTGCATTTAAAACTTGGTATTTTCATTTCGTTTCCTGTAAATCATGTTTCTTAAACGGCAAACAGGTGCTGCTGTTACAGAAATGAAGCTTGCATAATGTGTTGAGGCAATTAATTGAATTACAAGAAAAACTACTCGCTGAAACGGAGTTTAAAATCTGACAATGGACGGTCTACTAAACAGGAGATTTCACGCAAGGATGAGGCAGCTATTATTATTCAAAGTAAATTTCTCGATATGGGCACTGTGTTATTATCCAAGGGGGCTTTTATTGGAAGTTTAATGATATTGTTGTTGTTGCTATTGTGTGCTGAATATTGCAACGAAACTAAAATATTTGATTATTTTGTTTGGTTCCGTCATTTCCACATTAAGAAAGATTTCGGCGAAATTGAGTCACGGGTTTGTCTTTTTCTTTAGCACTTTTAATAAAATAATGAACGCATTCAACTTTAATGCAAATTTACAACTTATATAAGATGGAAAAAACCATTTTTTGTCTGATGTGGCGGTGTAGAATTAGATGTTCCGCATCAAGGGGGTCGAACTTTACAAATGTATTAATTAAAATTCCGTATATCTGCCTGCGGCTTTGCAGGTCTCAGCCATGTCTGCAACGTGTATTCAAACAATTCTACACCTTAGCTTTATTATTTAGTTTAAAAAATAAAAATTTTGGATCAAATTTTAGGTTTTATAATTGACTTTCATAGATAACGGATCCGATTTGTTAACTGTTTCACGATTGTACCTCCAGAATTTAAATGTTTGTCAAGAATTTTAACTCTGATATAACAGGAAACTAGCGTCGTAAAAACTATATTCTGTTTGTATTTTCCAATCGTATTTTCTTTCTAACAAGGGTGTAATTTTACTAAACTGTTTTAATTGGATAATTAAATTTTTATCTTGAAACATCTGCATACTGTATTTATCTAATTGTGTTGTTTCTTTGTAATGGACTTAATTCATAATTTATTGTATAACAAATTATGTAATCTGTTACAAATCAAGGTTAATCTTCTCGCAATTATTTGATGCATTACCCAGCGGTGGTTTGGTGCCTACATCCTTTTTATAAAAGAGTACGTAATTATTTAGTTCTTTATTTTACAGTGTCCCAACAAAGTATACAAAAGGATTTGAATGAATACAAACATTTTCAACACATTTCTTAAACCCAGAACATAACAGTGTTTTTCTTTTGGTTTTCCTCTTCTGTCAAATGTATTTCGCTCTTACTCAAAACTATTTTATTTAATATATTAATGTCAAAGCGACGTAGGTAGGAAATAGTTTTGAGAAATAGTGAAATACATTTGACAAAAGAGGAAAACCAAAAGAAAAACACTATATTTTTTTGCTCTTGATTTCTATTTTTTAGTTTCTCAAGTTTTGTCCTGACATCAAAAATCTAATCAAATAAATCTATGAATAAAATTTTAGATATTGCTCAGGGCAACATTGTGGGGGCAGGAAGTTAGAGATTGGATAGGTACTTAAATTTAGTTATTCAGAGGTTTAGATGTTAAAGATATGTGAAATTAAAAAAAAAAACATTTTTAACCTTCACCAAAAACGGAAGGAAGTTGATTAGCCACAGAAAGCAAATAAAATTATGCACAGAGTTTTTACAATAGGTGTGGGGATACACCAATTTTGGTTACATTGAACTTTTCCGGTTCACTACTTTCATCACTTTTAAAACAAAATTTTATTACAAAATCAGAATTAAAAAACCAGTAAATAGAAAATACTTATAAGGTTTAAAATAAATAATTCTTAAAATTAGTGATAATACTCTTAATTGCGAAAAATACTAAAAGCAAAGAAATAATCATTAGTAATGTAATAAGTCTCAATTTTTTAAGACGAAGGATTTCATGATGGTCACTGAGTTAAGATTGAATCATCAATATATCTGTGCTCATCATTCAAGGCTTGATTTCCAATAGCATTTCAATACCTGTATAATTCAAAATCCGGATTTGTGGTCAGAATAACATTTTTACACTAAGTTGTTTTTATATCAAACAAAAAATAAATATAGCAAATGGTTACAATAGTATTATGTAGTAGGTCATAGATGAAAATCCAAAATCCTTTATTATTTTATCTAAATATAAATAGAATAAGCTTTTTTAGTTGTTTATTTGACTATTATTTATTTATTTTCAATTAAAATTAATATACAATGTTGGCCATTGACACAATTTCTAATCTTATTATTTTCATAACACAGGTGGTCTTATTTGAATTGATTTTGGGAAGTACCGATTAGTCATTAATTAAATAATTATCATAGACAACTTTTAACATCAACAAATGCATTGCATAACAACAGCAACAGGTACGTGTTTTTTTAAATTAACTGTAAACCATCTTCGAAGAATAATATATCTGGTGGGGAGCCTAAAGTTTAAACATTTCAAGATCGACACCGGTACATGCCGGTACTAAAATGTATTTTACAATGGGTGTACGAAATATTATACTTTTGGTGACTTTTGTTAGTTCCGTTTTAGCTTGTAAGTATTTTTTTGATTCAGTTTTTTTACTCTGTTTTGTCTGTATTAGTTCAATAACAAAATTCTTCCATAATTATTATTTTTGTTGTTTCTATTTACATGTAAACAATGTAATTTTTAGATTCAGGAGAATTTGTACCAAAATCCTACTACATAATCGACCAAGATGGCCACAAATCCGACGTCGTCTACTTCAGGAGTAAAAGGGACGTGGAATCATTCCCTCTTTTCCGAGTAAAACGCGGGGGTGGCTCTTCTGCCTCTTCGCAGAGCTCCGCGTCGAGCAGCAGTAACAGTGGGGCAGGGTTTGGAGCTGGCGGCGGCGGCGCCGGGGGTGGTGGCATACCGTTCCAAGGAGGAAGTGGTAAATAGAATACTTTTTCAAGTGACTAACCCGCATGCCGAAACATTAACTAATTTCTTGATCAATTTCTTGATCTGTGATATTCATTTAAAGACTACTTTCCGGGATTCATAGACCCTGGATTCGCTGAATTTTTCAACAACAACTTCAATGCCTTAGCAAAACTTGCCAGTAGTACGGGCGGCGGTGGTGGCGGCGGAAGTGGTGCTTTTGCACATTCTTTTGCCAGTTCGAGTTCTAGCGGTTCTTCGGGAATTCCCGGAGGTTTTGGAGGAGTTGGGGGAACTGCGGAACCCGGATACAAAGGGTAAGCAAAATGAGTCATATTGTTTATAAATCGTTATGATTCAAATTAATGATGGGAATGATTTTAATCCATGACTTTTCAATATCCACAACTATTCATAAAAAAATCGCCTAAGGACAAAAATTAAGATGGCTTAAATATTTTCATTAAACAACTCATTTTAGTGAAGGCTACCTTTGTTTAACTGAACTATTAGAAATATTTACTTTGTTTAACAGATATTGCATATTTGTGAATACATGGGATTTTTTCAACTAAATACATAAAGTTTTGGGTTTTTTGCCAGTTTTTAAATGTCTTGATAAAGTTTGTTTAGGAATAAGATATGGAGATTCTTTTATATCTATTAAACTTTACATAAAACAAGTTCCAATTAAACTTGGATACCCAATTAACATTACTGAAGTAAACATAAACATAAATATGTATAAATATCCATGTTATAATTTCTAAATATTGTGTTCTTTTCCAGTGTTTTTTTATAATAACAGGACAAGATTTATTTGACGTAAATGTGTATATGACTCGGTTATTGACGATTAAAACCGGTTAGTAATAATGGTTTAATTTATTTGTATATGTGAATGTAAGTAATGAATAATAACTATAGCGTATAATAATGTACAATAATAAATTATAACAAGCTTTAAAGAACCTTATCAAGGTGTATTTTTCTAGCATCCACGTAAAGTTATACAGGTTGCCCGAAAAAACGTAAAAAAAATTTAGGGAGATGAATTCTCATTAGGTCAATAAAAGAATAAGAAAAGTTCCTGTAGGACTGGCCATGGAGGCGGAAATGCTTCCTAAGGGAGTTAGAGCACTCTGAAAATGGAAGCAAAAGCTCTTTTTTTTCAATTATTTCAGTACTTAAACAGTTGAGATAAATTTACAAAAAAATTTTGACACTAAATCTACTAGCGCTATCAAAAATTATATTCCTACCTCAATTAGGGGGTCGGAGACGCTGTGGTCAATCTGTTTTAAGGCGAAACATCTTACTTATTTTACTTCAGCAAACGTTCTTTGAAAATTTTTCCAAGAGATTTGTGTTTGTTGTATAATTTTCTTTATTCACAATTAAAAAGCAATAATCAAATTACCTTGCATGTGAAAAGTTGGAAAGTACGACATTTCAACTTCATTTATTAATTATTGATATGAAATATACGGTTCAGGTTGGGAAGTAGAAACTTCCCAACCCAATAACTGATGGAAGTGACCATTTCCCAACCTGAACTGTCTATGTCATGTTTTTCAAAATTTGATAAATTCTTTATATTGGCTTTCTGTTCTTTAAGAAGGCTTTGATGGTCGTTGCTTCATCATAACCCGGGGCGCTTCGCGCCTTGGTAATGAAGCACCTTCCACCTCGGTATGTAATCTACTATTGATCCAAAGTTTAAAACAGTTAAAAAAAGTGTTCTATAATTATTTTGGATAGCTCATGTACACCCACACCCACACTTTGCGATGATTTATGACAATTCTTTTTTCAGACCAATTTTATATTCTCGCTTCGGTGAAGATACTGGTAATGGTGTTAAAGTTTCAAGTAGCGCTCAAGGACCCAGAGGAGCCTTTAGTTCGAGTTCGTCATCGATTGACAGTGATGGAAAAATTAAATATTCTGTAAAATCTGGAAAATACTAGTACCCGCATTTGTAATTTTAGTATTAGGGATAATGTATACGTATATGTTGGTACAATAAAATATAACATGTAATTATTTAGTGCGGACTTGTGGACATACTTAAAATATTCATTTTATTTTTATCGGCACAACTATCAATTACCATCATGTATAGTCGAGACTTGGCAGTTTGAATGCGATTGCTATTTTAAAAAACAAAATGAATAACACATCTTTCGAAGATTTGAAAGCATGTTTTGAAAGTTTTTGCGGTTGCAGAAATTTACCAGCTGTAATTGAACATAGTTTCTAATGATATTATTATAAGAGTTTTTCGAAAATATTTTCTTTTTGTGTTGTGCAACTTTTTAAAAGTGTGAATGATAAAAAACAAAATAAGTTAAGTCCCAAACCCCATGAAAGCAATCCAAAACATTAAAAGAGCAATGAAAGTCTACAAAATACTATATTACCTGATCCAAAACACCACCATTTCTTGTGAATTTTAATTTTATATCTATTATTTATTAATCAAGCAACAGATTTTTAATTTACATTTATTCGGCCTGTCTAAATTTTTGTCGAAATTTTCACAAGTATGGAAAATTGCGTTTTTATTGATTTTATGTAAGCCCTTTTTATTACAGTTGTTATGAATTTCAGTGTAGAACTTTCACTGATACAAAACTTAAATATTGGCGGCAATCCTTTCATCCACAAATGACATTTGACAGTTGACAATTGTTGTAATTGTCAAAACCGCGGATGGTGGCTACGTAAAATATATCGACGTCGACGATTACGTTGTCTACGTGTCTGTGAACCAGTTCGTGAAACTCCAAAACCAGCCAAAACATCCCGTTCACTCTGTGGCGTGGAAGCAGAGGTGTCGGTACGTTGAGTGGTGCTAACAGTGCAAGAATCACCAAACCGTTACAATTACACCTTACCGTTATTAAGAAAGTTGTCTATTTAGTTTGTTAATAAATTTATTCGAAGAAAGATGGTCAAACCAGTCAGAAAAAACTCAAACAAGAACCCCCCAATTTTGAGCCACGAATTTATCATCCAAAACCATGCGGATATTGTCTCCTGCGTGGCTATGGTCTTTGTGGTTGGCCTTATGGTCCAAGTAAGTAAATTTTTAATTGATAATTCCTCACATAATTGGAGAAATTTTTACACATATGCTAACTCTGAAACCTTTTTAAGGCCACATCGCCACTAGCTTCAGTTTTCATTGCTCTCCAACATAACGTAACAGAAGCTGGTGAAATTCCTTTATACAGTCCTGGGATCAAAGACTGGGCAGCTGTTTTCTTCTACAGCTTGATCTGTATTGTGATCCACGCCATTATCCAGGAATATGGTCTTGATGTAAGCGATTGTAATTATTTTGAACAAACTTCATTATCTTTTTTTCAGAAAATTTCCAAGAAGCTGCATTTATCCAAGTCAAAGCTTGCAGTTTTCTCAACCAGTGGCCAACTGACCGTGTTTTATCTAATTTCAACATTTTGGGGGGCTGATATCGTGTTGAAGGAGCAATATTTGCCCGAAATTGCGCGACTTTGGTCCGATTACCCCGCTCCAATGACTTTCCTTGTTAAATTATACATTATTATCCAACTTGCCTACAGTCTACATGAATTACCTGAACTCTATTTCCAAAGAGTGAAACGTGAAGAATATTCATCAAAAGCCGTCCAAAGCGTTGCAACTCTACTTCTCGTAGCCATCCCTTACTTCTTAAAGTAATTAAATTCTTTGCTAAAGAAAAATTCGTAATTAATTATTTTCAGCTTCAATCGTTTGCTTGTTTGTCTCTTGGTGCTCCACCACAGTTCTGAATTGTTTTACCACATCACCCAACTTATTCAAACTGTTGACAAAGATGAGAAATTCTCAAAGGGTAAAACATTATTTTAATTCAACCATTTTTCATTAATTAGCAATTTTTAGCTGCCAGAATGGTTTCCAACATTTTACAGATTTTGGCCCGTTTGGGTAGCATCATCTTAGCTGTTTTAACCCTGTGGTATGGGTTGGCATTAGGAGAGCATCAACCCCTTGACATTCAAGCTGGTTATTACAACACATCTACTGTCCGTCTTGCTGTCTTGGGGGGAATCCTTGTTTTGCAAATGTATTTGACTATTAATGTAATCAACCAAGAAATCGCCCGCTCTCGTGAAAATAAAGCCTATACCACTGTTCCTAAACCTAAGGTGCAGAAGAAAGAAAAATCAAAAAAGAGTAAGTATAACAAGTAACAATTTGTCTTTTATTAATTATTGTTTTTAAGGTAAAAAAGTTAATAACGAAGAATCTGATCTCCCTGAAGTGGATCAAAACACAAATAAGACTTTAAGACACAAACAAAAAGTAAAATAAGTTATTTAGGTATCTTTTTTTATATACATTATTTTGGAAAAACCAGACTTTACTGCTGGTGACAATTACTGAATTGTTTGTTTTCTGTAAAAAATATGATTTTTTGATGACTTGAATTTTTTATTTCTTGTTTGCTACATAGATACTATGTAATCAGGTTTTAAAACCACTTAGGTTTTTACATTTTTGTTTAAATCCTAGAAGAATATGTTGGTAAGGTTGCTCAATCTCACTTGGGGTTTGTGGAATTTTACACATTCGTCTAATTTTTGGCGAGATTAATATTAAATTTTGAACAAATCCAAAGGCACTTGAAGTTGTCCAATATAACACAACGCACTAAAACAACATTATTATTTGAGACACCAGTTCTGAAAAAGTCTTACTGATGGCACCACTGATGCAATGGGGATCATCATAAGACTAAGTCCTCTAAAAAAATTTGTTAAGTATCTTTGCAATTTTGTTGGAACATTTATCTTAGATAAAGTTTGCATCTGGAAATAACAAAGTGAATTTTTTGTCACAATTGGTTAAAAAAGTACTTCAATAATTGCCAGATTTAGTAAACCAAACGAAACTGGTAAAACTAGTGATGAATCTGCTACAGTTAAGTTGGGAATCCAGCCAAAACCCCCAACACTTAATTCAGTAAATGTGATTTGAGCGTTTGTGTCTTGATGTGGCAACATATAAACCAGGTTTCTTAGACTAACAGAAAGAGATATCCATAGGGGTATTTGGAAAAATATCAACAAAGTGGATTTAAATGGATGACAATTTTCTCGTTGTATTAAACCCTGCCACTGTTTTCTGATCTAGAAGAAAATGTAAATAGAGTAAAAAACAGAAACTATAGCAAATACAGATCGCTTAAACGTGATTCTCGCAGTCCTCTCATCCCAATTGTACATTTTAACAGCAATTGCCGTTTCTCGCTTTAACTCCTTAGCAATACCATCCATTTCTAACTTGACAAATTCCAATTTGGCCATAATATAATTTTGGTAAATAGCAAGTGGTACAGTCACACAGCCGCGCATCATAATCGTAGTGCATATTATCGTTGCCCACCATGGGAGACCTGTCGTGTCATGGACATTTAACAAAAACTTTTGACAATACTCAACTGGGGTACTCTCTGACAAACTTTTAAAAATACCAGTTTGGGTTTTCGCGATTGAGTCAATAGTTGATTGTAACGAAAAGTGCCTTTGTTGTTGTTTGACACATAAATGATTATTTATCCTATTATTAAAGTAATGTTTGTTCAAAATAAACGAACATAACCTATATCTTGAATGTCTCAAACTTTGCATAACGTTCATTTTTATAATATACTTCCGGTATCGTGCTCATTGACTTTTAAGCCAAAACTGGTCAAAGTTTTATTTTTGGAGATGACATACTAAGATTTCTTCACGTTTCTCTATTTCGCAGCTGTCACTGACACTTGACAAGACGATTTGTTTACATTCGTTTGATAAAGAAGAGAGTGATTGTACCGATAATCAGTGGTGTTGCAGTTATCAAGTGTCATAATTGGGGCAATATTTGTGCTAATTGGTACATAATGGTACAATAAAACGCATATTTAGCTTAAAAATTATTGTGAGTCACTGCAATAACGCAGAGTTGTCCCAATTGGGTCACAGTTGAGTTTGAGTCTTTTACGTATCGATGACCGTTACTCGACGAGTCGCACATGTTATAAACAATTACAAAAAAGAGAAAGTTTTCTGCACATTTTATTATTGTTGGAGAGTGTCGTGGGTTGACAGCAATAAGTGATGAACGTTTTCAAGTTTTTTTGACTGTTTTTTACAAGTTTGGTGGTAGTGAACCAACTGCGATGGTAGTTATAACCAAAATTTAACAAACAGGGAACCTTTGTGGTGACTACGTCGTACCATGGGGCTGATTTATTCCAGTAGTAGTATAGTGGATAATGTAACAAATTATATTTCTGGGAGGAAGCGGAAGTATTCGGATTCTGAAGACGATGAAGTTAACAAAGTTATAGACATTGCTTTACACACACCAAAAAGGTATGAACATACCCCAGTTTTGGGGTAGCACTACATGGCAGGTTATTTTCTTGCAGGAAAAAGCTTGTGAGTACTGCACAATATATTTATCAGGCGTTATTCGAAGAGGGAAAAAATTCGGACATAACAGTATGTGCCTTGGGAGAAGAATTCTATTTACACAAGATTTACCTTTGTCAGAGTCCTTACTTTGCTAGCATGTTTGGGGGCTCGTGGCTGGAAGCTACCAAAAAATACATTCATATTGATGTAGTGGATCCACTTATTACAATTGACTGTAAGTTTTCCATGGAGGCATGGAATTGAAAAAATACTATGATTAAGTGAAGCAGCAATTAGCAGTAAAAGAAAAATTATTAATTTATCGATTAATAATTTTATGAGTTTGATCGTTCGGTGCAAAGTTACGTTTTCAGCTTACATAAGCAAACAAGATTCTGGGAGAAACTTGTTTGTTTATGTCCCCTCCAGATAAGCATTATAATTAGCGCGACTACTACAAAAATAAAAAAAAATTAAAGTGGAAACATATTCTGACGATGTATTTTGTGAGATTGTCTTTGTTCTTTACCTTTTTGACCAGAATGTTGTTATTTGTTAAACCAGAAATTATTAACATTTTATTAATTTACATTATCAAAAATTACTAAACAGCACTTTAAAATTTTGTTTCATATGGCATAGAAGATTAATGGGAAAGTTGTTCAAAACTTTAGAATAAGAACCAGGAAATGTAGTTCATATTAAAATGTAGATATTTCCGTGTTTTTAATGTTATTACAAATAAAATTAAAAAAGAATTAAACAAGATAGGGATTAAAACCCGTAAACTAGTAAACCTATCAAAAAATAACAATTGTTGGTTCAAAAACTAATTTTATCCTTATCATTTTTAATATTCGACTTTTATTGAAGTTACAAATGTTTTTCTTAAAATCATACGATATTATTTTCTTTTTTATTCACTTCACAATTTTTTCTAAACTTTTTTAAAACTAGTTACTTACAAAACATTAAAATGGATTCTTGTTTAACAAAAATCTATAAAATTGTTGGAATAATGTTTTCTTTATTATTTTTTAATCACATGTGACTTATTTTTAGCCCTGAAAGTGGTATTTGGATCCTTGTATAACTGTGAGATTACTCTTAATCCATTGCAAATTGTTTCAACGTTGGCAACAGCTACAATGTTTCAACTGGATGGATTAATTGAAAAGTGTACGGAAGTGATGTTAGAAACAATAAATCCAAAGGTTACACACATAACCAGTTTCATCAAACTCAACTAACTATATTTTTTAGTCTTCTTTGGAGTACTATAATGCGGCATGTCAATACGGTGATAAGAAATTGCAAGATGTGTGCTTTAAATGGTTTTTAGTAAATTTAATGACGTATTACTTTAGTCATCCCGTAGTTAATTTAAAAAGCATTCCTATACCTCTTATGACGAAGCTTGTAGCACATCCGGATTTATTTGTGATGCAGACTGAATATTCCATTTATGTATTACTAAAGTATTGGGTTTACATACTTACACATCCGGAAATCGGCGACGAGACTCCAAGTAGTAAAGAAGTCAACAATTTTTTCTGTTCGAGAAAAAGTGAGTTAATTTAAAGGAAAACAATAATTATTAATTGTAACGATTTAAGACGAGATGCCATATCTTTTGACTGACGAGGGACGAAAATTTGTGCCAGTTTTTCAAGGTCTTCGAATACCAAACTTAATTTCACACCAAATGGACGTAGAATTAGTTCTTCACGATAATATTATACCCCGCAGTTGGCTGAATCCGGTCGTTTTGCAGCAGTGGAAACAGGTTTTGAGGGTTAACCAAAATGACGATAAAGGGTAATCTAAGTCACTTAATCACGCATTTGGTTGATTCTTGCGTTCTAGCCCTAGCGAAGTTTCAAATGAAATATTCCTAGAAACTAGTCTAAGGTGTGGGAGGATTTTGATGGTAAATGAACGGCATGTGTGGAGATGGACTGGATTCCATTTTGGAATGGATTTACTCATGATGACTGATGGTTACACCGTTTCAGTCAAAAGAAACCACAGGTCTGAATTTGAGCAACTGTTAAGCTTCCAAACTACAAGACATATAGCCATCAGGTAGAGTGTCAAACTCTCACAAAGATTTGTTTCAATTCAGTTTTTAGGGTAACTGTTGTAAAATTAAACGAACAAAGGCAGATAGTTTACTCCAAACAATCAGAAATCTTAAAACTGAGCCTTGCAAAAGGAGAAGAGGTCCAAATAATGGCGCTGGACAAAGACTTAGAGTACCCTATCATCATATCAGCTAATATACTGTACACATCTCCTGACTCACAGGAAATAAATCAAGAGGAAGTTGTGCAAACTGTCTCCTAATTGTTTTTAAAAACTCGCTCGTGACCTTACTTTGCGTCTGCATTTCTTTAAAATAGCAACTATTTTGTTATGTACAGTATTTGTTATGTAGTGGGATTAGCATGAAGAGATTTTCTGTTCTTGCATGAGGGTAAAATTCAATAATTCCGAACAAGATTCAACTTATTTACAAATGAAACTTTAAAATCAAAATATATTGCAATATTTTTGATTTTAAACTTTATTCTATTTATATTGAAGGGTTTTCGTGATCAGTTTCAGTTTGGCTAATAAAAATATATAATTCGATTTACTAATTTAAAACTGTTATTTTTTTAAACAAGGAGATTAAATTGGGTATTTTTATGTATAGTACCTATTTAGGATTATTTAAAAGGTTTATAACAGTTACCATTTGTTACTTTTTCTAAGTAAAATATTTAACAAACTTTCTACACCTAATTTTAAGATGTGAAAGTGCTCTTATTAACACACTAGTCACTAAGCTTGTCATCCAGAATAAACGGTGTATTATAACATGTGTTTCAGTTAATTTTGGTGGGACAATTATCCGTAGAAGGTACTAAATATAGTGTATTCACTTCATAAACCTGTTACATGATTATTTACATACATGGTATAACTACGTGTTTAATCTAATTTTACAAAAATTTAAAATTACGTTTAGTATAATAGGAAATGGCTTAACCTAAACATGAACAAAAAAAATACTGAAAAAGTGACATCAAATGTTCAATTCCGAAATAAATAATTGTAAAGTAGATCTTTAAAATTTGGGTTGGAGTATTTTTGATAAATAAATAAAAAGTAAAAAAAATAATTGTTAGCGATCCACGCACGATGAGATTTGAAAGTCAAATATCATTTATAAATAATTACGTATATATCACAAATAAAACTCTAATGGCATTTGCGACCATAAAATTCCGAATAAGAACAGCAACTTGTACTTAGAGTCCTAATTTATTTTCCCATTGTGAAATGCAATAAAGGTTACTCGGGATGACTGTAAAATATATGCGAACTATAAGCAGCTTCCGTTCCAAAGCGCTTTTTGCAAAACGGACAAGGATATTTAGAACCTTCACACTGGTTCTTCTTATGAAAATAGAGATGCGACTTATTTGAGAAAGGTTCCCAACAACTCGAACACTTGTACGACTTGTTATCCAAATCCGATGCATTATTCTGCGTATTACTGGCCGACGGCGCTGGCTGTCTTTCCGGTGATCTGTTCGCTTTAATAGTCAAATGGGGGTTATTTTGCACCAACTTCATGATATTCGGATTAATTGTCGCTTTCTGATTCGGATTTTTTGAAATTGGGGTTATACTAACCGACCCGATCGAATCGTTCGAATTTTTATAATTGTGCTCCGTCTCGTGTATCTGAATCTCCGGTTCTAGAGGCTCGCGTTTGATGTAATTCGGATAGTTGGACTGCGAATCGGAGTTGTTGAGACTCTGCCTTGTCCTAGTTGTCATAGTGGGCTTGCTAGGGGTGGTGGTCTCCCCTTTGTGGATTCGCATGTGGCTATTCCGGGAGTATATAGTCGGGAAAGGTGTGCTGCAGATGAAACAGACGAAGCTTTGATTCTGATTGGGCGATTCCTTTGTACCCTCTGGTACGTAGGCGTCGTCTTTATAAGTACCAGTCTCTCGGACGCAATGTCTCATGGGACGCCCCGTCGGTGAAACAACTTCGCCATTCGAGCTATGCGTCGCGAATTTCGTGTTATTCCGACCTTGAGGAAACTGATTGTAGTCACAGTTTTTGCTGTGGATATTGAATTCGTCAAGTTTGAAGAACACTTTGTAGCATTTCCGGCAGAAGTAGGCCTGATTGGTGGTCTTGGGCACGGTCTGAGGGGCCTTGGACAGAATCGGGGGCGGCTTCTCATCATCCGAGTCCATCTTCTCCTCCTTGATTTTAATATTGGACTGCAGACTCTTCCGCGGGAAATTCTTAACCCTGATTGGTTGCTGCATTTTTGGTTCGTTTTCGTGTTGGGCCACGATTTTCTTCACTTTATCCGGCTGGATGATCCGCGGAACGAAGTTGTTTAATTTACTCGCGGCGTAGATTTTCGTCGACAAGGGGTCCCCCTGCTCCTCGTGCTCCTTGACATGTTCATCAAACCGATGCCTCTGTTTATTGAAACGCATGCCACAGTAGCGACAAGTGTAGTAGCACGCGAGGGAGAAATAGTGAGATTCTATGGCCCAGTTGTCTTTGAAACTGTACCGACATAACGGGCAGAATTTCTTATTCACGCCTCCTATTTTCATCGACTTGTAGAAAGTTTTCCTTTCTTCTTTCGAATATTCCGCGAGGCCGATTCCGTTGACGGTAGGTTTGGCCAACACGAGTACGATGTCACTGGTGATTTGTTCTTCCTCTTGCGTGATTTCGGTCCCAACTGGGATTAGGAGACTTTCGCCAGCAGAGGGCGTGTCAACTTCCATGAAATCACCGGGGTCTTCCTCGCACTCCACCTCGTCGTAACTACTAAGCCATTTGTTGCGCACGTGAGAATCGTCACGTGACTCGTGCCAAGGAATGGGGTTGTCCACTTTTTCCCCCAACTCGATATTTATATGCTCAACTTCGTGTAATGCTAACAACTTGGAATTTTTGAACTTTAAATTGCAATATGTACACTGAGGTTCAACTAACTTTTCATAAAATTCATTCGGTTGATGGTCGGGTACTATTCTCTTGTTTATTACATTTAAGGCTAAACTCATCAGACTCAGGGGGAAATACCTAGATTCGGTTTCGTCTTTGTAAACTTCTTTTACTCTTTGAACGTCCACCTCGCGTTTGATTTTGTCTTTATTATTCACTACAGAGTCGTTCAATTTGCGCCGTTTTACCCTCTCCATGTCTTCATTTTCTGAGTCGTACGACTCCACGTCGGTGTGATACTCCTCATAACATTGGGAGCTTTCAGTATTTGTAAATTCTGTTAAACTACTACAAAGTGAATCGTCGAGTTCATGATAGAAAGCCTGACTTTTTCTTCTACGACTTCTTAAAACTTTTTCAGACTCTGACGACGTCACCACTTTATTAATGCTTAAAGAGTCAGTTATGGCCTTATGTAACTCTGCACACAGTTCAACTTCACTGTTTATGGTGCTTGAATCAAAGCAGGTCGATTTGCAGTTGATACAGGATATTGTAAGGTCATCTGTTGATGTGCCTCTGCTATTTTGTTTAGGAATGTTTTTGGAATCTGTCACTTGGTTCTAAAAACCAAACACTCATCAATAAGTAGTGTAAATAAACACAGTCTTTACCACTTCAGTTTCCTCACACCCTAGGTACAGCTGGACACTTTTACTGTTCCCATCCCTTGTATTCTGGAGATGTTTCTTGTGTTTGTTGGCCGTGTCTAGACTAGTTTTCTTGAATTTATAAAATGTTTCTAGTTTACTAAAGCAATCCTCACAAACATGCTTAGATAAAGGATCTGTTCTATATATCTGAAATCATTGGAATTTAAAGTGTGTAGAAATAAATTACGGTCAGTACTTACAATTAGAGGCAAACATTCTTTGATCAAGTGTAGTATTTGCTGGCCTTCCTTATTTTTGGAGAAAATGCTGTACATTTTATCTTTATTTTCATCGCAAAGACGACAAGCGTCCTTAGACGAAGTTGAAGCATTCATGGTGTGCATCCTATTTTTCCAACTGCTGTTTTGGTGAACTCATTTAATTACAACACACTTTGTGATGCATTTAAATCAACTTGTTTTACATTTTTTCAAAGAAAACGCCGACGAATTGACATGCCTGGCATGTTGTCCGCCATTCCGCCATTTTTAATGTTATTTTCAAGAATCGGCAGAAGACAGAAATCGCTCCTTTCGACGGAGCATTTGGACTACCCGTCGTTGAACAAAGATTAAATTTGGAATTTCTGGTCTGTGATGCTTACACGATACGTTGTAATTCTTCCAGTTGACTTCAAAAATAGAAGGTAAACATCAATTTCGCACCGCATTTGACATTGCTGTCCACTAATTAACTGTCAAATTCAAAATTGCCGCTACTTTTAATATTAAAATGGCGGGATTGCCGATTTTCTCCAAAAAAATTTTTTTATTTTTACAAAATTTGTAATTAAGGATTTATCAATTCTAAGATGTATCTTGTACCTAAATGTCTAAGCATAAAATTTTGAAAACATCTTTCATATTAGTGCATTAGCGTATTGTTGGTTGCCTACTAATCTATCATTTAAAGAAAAACAATAGTATTATTATTTTCTAAAGGTTGTTCTCTCATTGCTGAAATTAAATCGAGTTATAGACATTCAAGCAAAGGACAGGATTTATGGAATGAAGCAAAATTTTTGTTTTTTATTTATGGCTCTTTACATTACGTTTTAAAAATCAAAAAAAAATAAGGAGTTTGAATGCAGTTCTTGTACGTTATTAAATAATAAATATCATTTTATTCAAAGTAAAAACAATTTTTATGTCTGAAAGTTACAGCTTTCTGTAATAAAACTATTGCCATCTATATGGTGCATGTCAAGTCTGCTCATGTGTCATATTGAGGTTATAAACAGGTATAAATAAACAAATCGAAAACTTTTCCGAAGCAGTTTTATAATCGAATGTCACGCGATTAATATTCACAAGCATGATTTGTAGGAATTTCAATTTATAGCGGCCAATGTTTTCATTTGTTTGTAAAGGGTTGAGAGAATGGTGCCCAAGTTTGTATTTTGTATAATTCCGGCCGTTTTGGCCCTCATTGGTATTAGAAAATTGCGTGAGCGTTCATGGGGCTATTGCAGAAATCGTGTCTCATTTGACAATAAAGTTGTAGTAATAACAGGTGCCAACAGTGGTATTGGGTTCGAAGTTGCCAAAGAACTGGCTTCAAGAAATGCCATGGTTGTCTTAGCTTGCCGAAAACTGAATTCAGCGAAAGAAGCAATTGAAAGGATTGAACAACAGTTTAAGAGAAAATTGAAAATGGTATTTGTCTCATGCCCTGATTAATTACGTAATAACTTTGTTTTACTAGAGAGCAATGGAGGTTGATTTGGCGTCTTTGCTATCAATCAAGCAGTTTGCCTCAAACGTACAAAAACTCTACCCAGAGATACACGTCCTAGTCAATAACGCTGGTATCGCATATCCAAAAACGGAGAAACATTTCACTAAAGATGGTTTTGAGATTCACTTTGGTGTCAATCATTTGGGTCACTTTTACTTAACAAACTTACTGTTAGATAAGTTGAAAAAATCAACATCTAGTCGCATCATAATTGTGACTTCCTCTTTACTTGAGAAGGGCACAATTGATTTAAAAAATTTGGAAAGTGGTAAAAACTTGTATGCCAATTCCAAGTTGGCTAACGCCTATTTCTGTAAAGAACTTTCAAAGAGAATCAAGGACACTGGGGTTAGTGTTTATGGTGTTTGTCCTGGTTGGGTTTACACAGCACTTTTCCGGCATTCTATCCGTTGGTATCACTACATTATGGTGGCCCCAATCGCATATTTCTTCATAAGGAGTCCAAAACAGGTGCGTTTACTGAAAAAAAAACAAACATTGTTTTAACAAATCTTGTTTAAGGGTGCCCAAACCGTGATTTATTGCGCATCTGAACCAGGAATTGAACCACAATCAGGATCGTTGTTCCGCAACTGTAGTTTATATAAATCTAAAGTAAATTTTGATGAAAATCTCGCTGTGCAACTTTGGAATGAATCTGATCGTTTGATAAACCAAAAAATAAAGTAGTCTGTGAATAAAAGAGAATTAGTAACATATTTTTTTATTATTATTCTTATATATTTAAAATATCATTCACACAATTCTGTTTCAATACAAGCCATACTTTAACATATATACAAATATTACACTGACCATTTAAAAACTATGTAATCAAGTTCTACTCGATTGCATATTTCACAACAAAGTGAATTTGTACAGGTAAAATATCGCAATCAAAAGTTATTGATTTCAACATTTTACATCTTCACGAACAACATATTCACAGAGCAACTATAACTTTCAGAAACATTAATAAAACTTTTCTGATTTAAAAGTAGCACAACATTATTTATAATAAATAGGAATTATCGAAAAAATTGTAATAAATTGAAGTGTGTTTATTTTTGTAAAAATGAACAACACCCACCCTGAGCCCTTGGGTAAGTGGAGTCAATTTTACAATAAAAATAATTTTTCGATAAGTTGCTTGTAAAACTGTTGTTAGTTTTTAAAATATATCTCTTTACACAATAAACAAATCGTTATAAACTTGTGTAACAATTCATAACGATTTGGTTATAATTTTTTTTCCATAATATTGGGACCCTGGACACATTTAACGTTAAATATATTACACATTATTGAAAAAATTTGAAATTTTAATAAAAATTTAGGAGAATGAAAACGTTATTAGGTATATCTTATAATCTGAAAACAAGCTTTAAACAAAATCGATTGTTCAATGCTTGTTTTTCGTGTGTTTAAAATACCGGTCAATGGTGACGGTATTATAATCTATGATATAAAACATTAATTTGTTTAGTGATATTTGACCAATGGATAGATATCTCACATCCTATCGTCAGTTTTCATCATCATTTTTGACTGCTTTTTTAATTGTATATTGTCATTACTATGATGCCTTTATTTACAAACTATCTTTACGTCAAATCGGCAGTACAACAGTACATTCTAGTACCATTCATGTAAAGTATCGACCATTCATAGGGTACATAGATTGGCGTTAAGTTCGTTAACATTTTTCTTCAAATTGATAAATGAAATGTAGTAAACATACACAAGGCCACAACATAATTTGGGATATAAATGCAAAATGACGATATCGAAAGAATATCAGGTTAAAAAACGTTCAACAGAGAGTAATGAGGACAGTTAAAAAATTTATAAATGAACAGTCTTGTAACATTACATTAAGTGTGGAGACACTTTGTTCATTTTCAGTGTTCACAACCCTTCTTGTTGAGCACTAAACTGTTTTTTAAACATCACTCGTTACTTTACGATATCAATTTTAAAGCTACTGGTAAAAGAACATATACTTCTCCAAGCAAAATAAAACTTGATTTGTCTAATACTATGAAATGCTTATATTAAATCACAGACATTTTTAATCTATATAATATGAAATCTGGATATTAAATAAATAAAAAAATTCCATATAAAAAATAAATTTGTATGCTTAAAGAGCAAGTAAAACTAATATCGTAAAATATAATGTGTTTTGGATCACATGCTGTGTCGGCCTCCGCACATGCCGCATCTGATGCCGCACCAATGACAGATCTTCAACGGAGGATAGAGCCACAGACACGGAACGAGTATAGATAAAACCGTCAGACAAATCCACCGTTTCGAGCAGTTCTCTTCGTTGGTGCACTCGCAGGGGTGCTGCGCGAAGTCGCCCTCCGCGTCTGCCGCACAATGATAACATATACACTGTGCACATCCGATGCAAGTGATCGTGTTTATCGATGATTTTATACAGTCCGGGGCGTATTCACAAGACCCTTTCGGGTTTTTGTCTTCAAAATACAACTCGTGGCAATGTCTACAGCGAATTTGAGTCTTTGGTGGCTTTTTCGGCTTGCCTTTCAACGGCAAAGGAGGCTGCTGAGCCGACAGTTCTGGACTGCATTTTTTCAAACTCGAACCGGATTCGCGACGCCCGATCGACACCTTGTGCTGCTCTTCCACCACGGGGTAGATGTACTCGTGGACCGCAGTCAATTGCACGTACGAATAGTTTTCTCCTGAGACAAAAATTACAAAGTTAACCCAAATATAACTATTTGCATACTTTGTTTACAACATTCAATGACAATTTTACTGGAACTTTAACGACTTCAGTCGTTTTTAAAAGGTGCAGCGGAATACGTTAATGTTTTCTAGACCAGATTGTATTGAAAATTGCCAGAAATATTTTGATATTTTTTATTTCACAAAAACTAAAGTTGAAAAAATAGCCTAACTTGTTATTTCTTATCAAAATAGTTTTTACAAAAAGAAAATCGTGCAATATTTTACCTTTGTCGCCACCTTTGATGGGATCAAAAGTGGGTTGCCGAGGTTCGAGAGGTTTGTCCCGCCCGATGTAGTTCACCCTTTGCAGGTGTTCAGTACCTTTCGAGCTTGAATCACTGGAACTGCGGGAATCTTTGGGTTCATGTGGAAGATTCAAAGTCTAATGGCCACAAATAAATTCCAGTTATTAAAGGATAATACGGAAATATGGAATATTTATACCATAAACACGTCGTCGTCCACATCTTTTGAATATTTTTGTAGCAGTGATGAAGGAGAAGTTTCGGCAAAACCTAAACGACAAAACAATCACGTTATGTAACGTCCGGTCAACGAATTGCTGAATTAATAAAATTCAATACAAACTAAAATAGTCTCGTTTTTTAAACATTTTTTTAATTGCGATATTAATCAATTTTTATTGTGTTATTGCTGATTAATTAACTATGTATCAAAGTATTAATTCATTTCCGGCCAATGAATTGAAGCTTTTCATTTATTCGGCCAACTTATGGTATTATCCGAGACCCCAACATTTAACAACACTTAACTGTAATTATTTCATTAGAAAAATGTTTCGGCGAAGAATGACCTATAAAGAAGATGTAAGTGAAGTTTACAAACATTGGTTTGCTGAGAAATAGAAAATTCTGAATAAAATTACGATCCTCTGTAATTAATTAAATAAAGAAAGAAGTTAACGCGGCAGCAATGCTACCTGTCACACATCATTCAACACATAATTGTGTAAAGTTCAGTTCTAAATAGAAAAATAAACGGTCTTGAATTTACAAATCTCTTTGAAAATAAGTGAAACTTTCGTAAGTTAAAATAACATCTGTCCAGAAATATATTTGGTTTTAATAAATACTCCTCTAAAGTTGATGGCAAATTATTGATATGACTTAATCATTTTGGGGCTATTAAACAAAAAAATAGTTGTTTCACCGTGGACCCTAAATAAAATGATTTCTGCACGTGTCAAACTTTTCGGTAAAAATCATAATCAAAAAAATCATAGCTGCATCAATGATCATGTGATTTCTCAAGTACATAATAGTATGATGATAATTTTTAATCGAGCACTAATATCTGAAAACGCATCAGGAGCTACTTTATTCTGGACGCAAAAACTATTTTCTTTATTAAAATTTGTAACTAAAGATAAATGCATTCTTTTTGTTTCGTCTAAAACAAATAAATATTATGGGGTTCCCTAAGTGGCTATTACTTGCACTATTTTCCATTTAAAAAGTGCCATTAATTACATAAAAAATTAATAATAATTAAAACACATAATTAGTTCAATAAATGAAAAATTACAATGGAAAATGGTCGACGTTTTGTTCCACTACTATTTAATGAGACATTTTATGAAGTAGTGTTCTGTGAGGATGAAGCGTGAAGTTATGACACTCACCATGTAGGAATCCCGTAGTAAGGAAGCAATGAAAAAGATGCAAATAGAGCAGATAAGAAATATTTCTTACATTCTATTTATTAAACTAGGATAGCGAACCTAAGTCAGTTCAGCTAGTTGTTTCAAACTGCTACAAAAATATCCTTTTGTATCAATTTGGAACAATTTCTTCATTGTCTCGCCTTTTACATCGAAAAAAAAAAAACGTAGGAAGTCCGCTTACCGTCCAGCAGTTCCTCTACGGCGGTTCGTACTCCTTTATCAAAAGCTCTAGCATCGGCAGCCGTCTGAAATGTGAGTCCAAATTTTTTGTCCCCTGTTTTCCAGTGATGAAAAGTTGGCATAACTTTGTTGTACTCAAAGTCTTTTTTGATGGTGCAACTTAATACAATCTAAAAAAGAAATAAACTTGTTTTTATCTTTCGTCTAGTTTTTCGAAAATAATGGTAATTACCGATTGATCACTTATCCTTTTTCCATAAATCAGGTAATCATGTTTGGGTTTACTCGAAGGATCAGGCCCAGGGGCGGTAGATGGGGAAGGCCGAGGCCTTTTTCTAACCGATACGTTACTGAGACCCCCACCTCCCAGCGGAACCCAGCCCCCTGAGCTGTCATCCCTTGACATCACCTGTGCACGCACGCGCACCAAGTAATTGCCACTAGAATAAAAAATTAAATTAAAAAAATAAGCCTAAGAAAAAAGAATAACTTTTGATTGCTTTTAAAAATTGTTTTTTTTAAGTAAATATCAGAATATAAAAATCTACTTGTACCGAGAATCGGAACGGAAAGAATCAATTAGGTTGGTCACTTATTAATAAATTTATTTTATAAAAAAGGTATGATTTAACATGGGTCAGTTCTCAGAACTAAACCAAATTCATTGAAAAATTATAAGCAACTGTAAAAGAAATTAGCAACAAATATCTTTTAAGTAATTCATAATTGAATCACTGACTTTAAAAACACCTAAGTGAGATGTGGAATCAATCTGTGTAATTATTATTATCGAAATTTGACGAAGATAAATGGCAACATCGCAGGTGCGTTTTTTTTTTTTTTAGATGAATAGGTCACAAACATTTAATTTCTGTGTAAAAGAATCTGTCTTACAACTGGGCTTTAGTGACAAATTAAAAAACGAAAAGTTAATGTCCCGAGTTACTTCCTGTATAAAAAAAGAATCTGTGTTATGAATGGACTTTTGTGACATTTTGAATATCAAGGAAATACTCCATCTCAATGAGGTCATGTTATTTGAAACGATTCAAAAGTATATTTACAGTGCAATTTCTGTATTTGTTTTAAAGAAAATTGCATGACCCTATGGAAGAACCAATCTGAATTTAGTATTTAATATGATTACCATAGCAACACAAAAATTTTCCGAAATTTTTTTAACTCATTATGTAGCTAAAATTAATAAGTGGAAATTTTTTTGACACGAAAACTAATCTCAAATATTTAATAAAACTTTATTTTAAACGACAAAAACTAAGACTTACTTACTTGAACTCGTGATGTCATGCAATTTTTATCCGAATACCCCTCGTACATTAATTGAATCCGGAAATTTTTCCTCGTGATTGGCAAAAATTTGTAATTAGCCCGAGTGTTAACACTAATTAATGAGGTTTTTGACAATGACTCGGAAAATTTCCGGAAACAATCTATGCACTCGGGACATTATAAGTGATAATTATTTGTCATTTTAAGATAAACAAAAAAAAATTGTAATATTTTGTGAAATGAAAAAATATTTTTTCAGTGTAAGAATTTGCAATACAAGTCTTAATAATTTCAATTAAAAAATGTTTTCGCTCCGAACTTTAAAAAAAAAAAAATCAAGTTAACAAACGATGCCGAAATATTGATTATTTTATTATTATAAAATAAAAATCATGTATTTTTTTTCAAAATTCGTCAAATTTCCGGAAACAATCAATGCACTAGGGACATTATAAGTGTTAATTATTTGTCATTTTAAGATAAACAAAAAAAAAATATGTAATATTTTTTTAAATAAAAAAATATTTTTTTAGTGCAAGAATTTGCAATGCAAGTCTTAATAATTTCAATTAAAAAATGTTTTCGCACCGAACTTTTTTTTCAGAAAAAATCAAATTAAACAAACGATGCCGAAATATGGATTACTTTATTATTATAAAAATCTTTTATGTATTTTTTTCAAAATTCGTCAACTTACGTATCTGATTTAAATTTCTGTAAAAAGTTGATTTAATAAACGATTATTATTGTTCTAATTAGAAATTTCAAATAATTTAGCTTAAAAAAGTGTAGATGCCACATCAAATGACACTTTAGCATTATTATCAATCTATATGTCATAGTATACTGACTTATTAGTAGACCTTAGTAAACATATCTTGCATGAAATTAGTTACTTGAATTCGAGTATTCTTAAAAAAGTCGCCACTGCTTAAAGATACTAGGAAAAAAAATCAAAATTTAAGATGTTTTTCATTAATAAAAAAATATAATTTCAATTAAAATACAATTTATTGATTGGAGATATACTTATTTAACACTGCAAAAAAACTGTGAAATTGCACTCGCTACAGCTATAAAATCTGTGGAAAAAATTATTCTTAAATATTGGGAGGTAACGTTTCCGTCACTATCCTAGGATTATTTCTTAATTACATCACACTGTATACATACAGGGTGAATATAAAGTATGATGGAACGAAGCGGTTTTAGTTTTAATCATTTGCCTCCAGAAAATAATAATTAATATAAATTAAAGTAATATAAAAAATGTGATGTTATTTTCAGAATGAAATTTTGTTTTGTTTTTGAGTTATGCGATTTTTTTTTGTCAAAATTGCAATTTTTTTGAAAAAATTAAACATAAAGCAGATAGTTGTAATCCTTAGAGTATAGCTTTTATGAGAAAAATGATTTTATAGTGGGTTGCCATTTAAAAAAATATTTTTTTTTGTAGAACTCAAAAACAGAAGGAAATTTCGAAAAATTTTATTCTTGTTAAATCATCACATTTTTATAGTACTTTATCACTCATCAATTAGTTTTTTCAAAAAATAAATAGTTTAAGCAAAAAACGTTTGGTTCATACTTTTTATTCACCTGGTATACAGAGTAAGTAGTTGTCTTTTCTATACTACAAGAAAATTTCACTGCACCTTTTCTTATCACAAACTTAAATTATTTGTATTTTTGCACATGATGTGTAGGTATAAGTATAAGGTTACAATTAGTTTTATTAATGTATGTTATTAACGCCGTTAAAGTATTTTCTATGAAAAGATCGAAACTTGTTGAACACCACTAAAATTGTTTGTATGAACTTTTCTGATCGGAAAAACTTTTGCAAACTTTCGACATCCCAACAACACGAAAAACTTACATGACGCCATGGATTTTCATTTCGGGATCATTTAACTGTACACTACAGGAGACCATGCATGCAGTTCAGGAGCACTTTTCCACCACGATTTTCCGACACATTCAAAAATACAGTCAATGACGATTTAACCAGCGCAGTATTGACGTCATACCTATTTTCTCCCCACCACAATTTTCCTTCTCCCCACCACATTTCCTTAGATTCAGCACGTGTTTTCCAATATAGGTAAATGGGTGGAAAGTTCAATGGCCGTGTACGAAGGAAAATTCGCATCAACGGGACGCTTTGCCCTTTGTTTTAATAAAATTTGCCCAGAAATGGACGGAAAAAGATAATATGTGACGTCATTGATGGTAGGATTAAAATAAATAACACACTAATAAAGAAATACATTTAATAAAATGGTACCTACTAATCTTTAAAAGCAAGTAATAAATAATAAAACAATGGATTCAAATTAGACTAATAACAGCTGTAAATGTATACCTATCAACCAAAATAATGCACTATACAAATTAGCAAAACAAAGTCCATATGAATATGATAATTTGTTTCTCAATTAATTAAGAAATTTGAATATAATGGTAGGAGTAACTTAATTATGGAAGTATGTATATTTTCTCACGACTATTCCAAAATTGTATTTTTGTCAGAGATTCAATGCAAATTTATTAGCCATTCTAGAATAAAATTATTGTTCAAGTTTGTTTATTTTTACCTGAGATTGACGCAAAAAGTGTCCTCATTAGGACTGTGTTGCATCAATTAATACTAGTTGTTATACTTGCGCCATAAATAAAAATTGTCACATCAAAATACAAGATAAACCGTATTTTTTTTTATTATTTATGACGTCAAAATAATCATTAGTTTTCACATGCATGATACTAATTTCAATTAATTATTTCTATTGATTTTAACATTTTCATTGGAATTAGGAACCATAATGCGATCTAAATTTTAATTTTAATTATACTCACAAAATAATCACTAATCTAAAAAATATTTCATAGAAAACAAATCCAAAATAGCGACCCCAAATACTACAGTTAGTTTACGTAATATCTTGTGACCTTTCTCTAAAAATTCAGTCGTTGTTCATAAGCATTTTTTATTTATATATTATATATTATTATTACATATTCAATATTTTATATATTATACATATAATGCCAATAAGCCAATAATATTGCACAACTTTTTTATTTAGTTTTATTGATAGATAATATTAAAATTTTACTGATGGATTCATTATTTTACTGCCATTTGGTCTGTGCAAAAATTATATTTTTTTAAAATGGGTGTGTAATGATCTAATGATGAAATTTGAAAAAATGTATGCCCAACAGCACATCAAAAATAAAACAAAAAACTGTTCTTAAGAAAACGCAAAAAAGTGTGATTTGTATTTGTAAGCTTATTGGAATTTTTTGTTGATCAGATGATGGTTTTATGATCGCAAAGTTAAAATTGCTAACAGATTTGTCATCAATTTATAATGATAACAAAAAAAAACAGAATGAAAATGTAGAGAAAAGCATCTATTCTTCTGACATCGTCTTCTTTAACAAAAATAATATGAAATGACAAAACAAGGCCAAATTATTTTAATAATATCTAGAATAATATTTTATATATACAATAATATTGTTTAAACTGTTTTTTTTTATTTAGATACATATTATACAGGCTGTTTGGAAAATGGCGCACCTCCGTGACACTGTATCATCGGGCGATGCCCTAGACAACAAGACAAATGTGGAAAAAAGTATCTATAAAAATTTCGAAGTTGAGAGTTTAAATTTTGCACTTTGACTGTATTTATTTTTGTTGGAAAAATAATTTTCCAAGTTTTTTTGCTCAGGCTATTAGAAGAAGTATCTTAAATTGTAACTCTGTTTAGTGTTATTTGTGGCTTTTATTGGCAAAATTTTTGTACTGTTACTAAATAATTATAAAAAACATGTACAAGATTATCAGTATCATTAAATAGACCCAAAAATATGTCAAACGTCAAAAAATATATGTCAAAATTTTTAATATTTTTTCAGTACTCTGGGGGACTACCCAATTACTCCTTTTCAAAGAAGTGCGCGAATTTTGAGACACCCCCTGTATGATGTTTAAAAAATATCTAGCAAAAATGTTTGGTAATTTGATAATTTAACATTTACAAATCTGTAAAAAGAAATTTTCCTACGACCCTAACAGAAAGTAAGAGTTTCTACCCTCAAAGTGGGAATAAATCTGGTGTTAGTTTAATTTATTTAC